GAGGTATTAAATCAGAATTAAATAAATTGAAATCCAAAAAAACCATAGAAAGAATCAACAAAACAAAGAGTTGGTTCTTCAAAAAAATTAACAAAACAGACAGACCCTTAGCAAATCATATCAGAAAAAGAAGAGAACACACCCAAATAAATAAACTCAGAGATGAGAATGGAAACATCACCACAGATACAACCAAGATTCAGAACATTATAAGGGAATACTTCTTAAAACTTTATGCTAATAAGTTTGAGAACTTGGCAGAAATGGACCTTTTCCTAGCAAATATTGACATGCTGAAACTAAACCAAGATGAGTTAAACCATCTTAACAGGCCCATATCAAGCATTGAAATAGAAACAGCAATAAGAGACCTCCCATCTAAGAAAAGCCCAGGACCAGATGGTTTTACAGCAGAATTCTACAAGGCATTCAAAGCAGAGCTCACATCAATACTCCTCCAACTCTTCAATGAAATTGAAAGAGAAAGTTCACTACCGAACTCATTCTATGAAGCCATCATAACCCTCATCCCAAAACCAGGCAGGGACTCATCAAAGAAAGAGAACTATAGACCCATTTCTTTGATGAACATTGATGTAAAACTTCTCAACAAAATTTTAGCCTATCAACTTCAACAATTCATCCAAAAAAATCATACACCACGATCAAACAGGATTCTTTTCAGGGACGCAACGCTGGTTTAATATATGCAAATCAATTAATATAATTCATCACATCAACAAGAGCAAGGATAAGAACCACATGGTTATCTCAATAGATGCAGAAAAAGCATTTGACAAGATCCAACACCCCTTTATGATGAAGGTTCTGGAAAAATTAGGAATCCATGGAACATTCCTCAATACAACAAAGGCTGTATATGACAAAACCTACAGCCAGCATTATACTTAATGGTGAAAAACTAAAACCATTTCCTCTTAACTCAGGAATGAGACAAGGATGTCCACTCTCTCCTTTATTTCCATTATTTTCAGGGATCTGGCTTGAATTCAGGCTTAGAGCTCTTTCACATCTTTCTTTCTTACAACTGGACCTCCACCACTCAAATCACCTCAGGCATGAACCACCAGGAGCACACCTATATATTTTTAAGTTAACATTAAGTATGACTATTTAGAATGAACAGATTGTAAGTGTTCAGTTCAATAAACTGTCACCAGTGTCATCATCACTCTAAGTATTACCCTCATTCTCTCTCCTGAGTAAGCAGAGAGCTGGTAGCCTGAGGAGGCTGCACATTCATTAGTATCAGAGCTGATATTAAGTAAACAGAGAAGTCAAGCCCTTATAAGAAACATGACAAGTTACTTTTTTACTTGCACAAAGATTGATAGAATTGCACTGAGAAAACTGGAAGTGGTGCTGTGGCTCAATTGGTAGAGTGCTAGCCTTGAGCTGAAGAGCTGAGGGACAGCGCCCAGGGCCAGAGTTCAAGCCCCATGACTGACAAAAAATAAAAAAAATTAAAACAAGACCAGCAGCCAGCAAATACACTTAACGCTGTTAGGAAACTGAGCCATGAAGGCCAGAGAGAAAAGAACAAACATAAACAATACCAACAAACCAATCCAGCTCCAATGGAGACCAGAGAAGAGTCAGGAGACAGGAGACAGGACAGGAACACAGAGACACGTGGTGTGGCAGGGTGCCTGGGCTGGTCCAGCCCTAAATCCGGTCAGAAAGGGAGTATGGTTTTAAGAAACTCCCAGTTGGGGGCACTGGACTGATAGGTTTAGTAACCTATTATCCAAGTCCCACCCATCACCTGGGAGGCAGGAGCTCCACCTTCCCCCACTATGAAGATAAGATGGCAGACCCTACTATCCACAATGTGGCCAAGATGGCGCCAGCCAGACTCCCTATTTCAGCTCCTGCCTGTAATCCTACCTACCCAGGAGACTGAGATCTGAGGATCATGGTTTAAGCTAGCCCAGGCAGGCAAGTCCATGAGACTCTTATCTCCAATCAACCAGCAGAAAACCAGAAGTGATGCTGCTCAAAGTGGTAGAGCACTACCCTCTAGCAAAAGAGCTCAGAGTCACACCTTGAACACCACACCCTGTGTTCAAGCCTCAGGACCAGCAAAAAAAAAATGAAGGATGAAATTGAATGTAATAGAATGATTGGAAAGGTTTCCATGCTATATTTCAATAATTACATTTTAATCAGGCATTAAAATCAATAAGGAATCATCAAACTTAAACTGCCTTTGCTCAAGGCTAGTGATCTACCATGTTAGTCACAGGGCTACTTCCGGCTTGTTCTTTTTTTTTTTTTTTGCCATTTCCAGTTTAATAAGTGATTTATTGGCAATAAGAATATCATGGCCTCGGCTGGGAAGGTGGCTCAGTGGTAGAGCGCTTGCCTTGCATGCATGAGGACCTGGGTTTGATTCCTCAGCACCAGGTAAGCAAAAAGAAAAAAGCCGGAAGTGGCGCTGTGGCTCAAGTGATAGAGCTCTAGCCTTGAGCTGAAGAGCTGAAGGACAGCGCCCAGGCCCAGAGTTCAGGCCCCATGACCGGACCCCAAAAAAAAAAAAAAAAAAAAAATCTCATGGCCTTTCCTGCTGGAACTAGCTTTAACAGAGATCCTCAGATCTCAGCCTCCTGAGTAGCTAGGATTACAGGCGTGAGTCACCAGCGCTGAAGGGTTGTTCTGAAGGGTTTATTGGAGATAGCAGTCTCACAGAATTTCCTGCCCAGTCTGGCTTTGAACAGCAATCCACAGATCTCAGCCTCCTGAGTAGCTAGGTTGATAGGCGTGAGCCATAGGCACTGGGTGAGTGGTGTTTTCCATCTTGTGGTTGTGGTTTATGGACTAAATCCAAGACTCTCTTCTTGTCTATCAAATACTTCTCAACTAGAGCTAAGACTCAATACATCCTGTTCATACTGTTTTTAGTTGCTATTTGCCTTTTTATTCCCTCGTTGCTGTTTGCCTTTTTATTCCCTCTTCAGGTTGTTTATAGATCCAAAATTCCAGACAGTTTAGGTCCCCAGTCAATTAAGCCCTCTTAAAAACCTCCTTTTTCTGAGGGGAGGAGGGACCAAAGGAGGATCGTTTTAGAGAAGTCTCTGCTTCCACAACAGGAAGAGGTTGGGTGAAAATATAGATATGCCTTGGGCCACTGGACGCTCTGAGGGCCAGTCCAGACCACACTCACGGTGCCCTACCCTGGGCTGGCATGTCCTGGGCAATGGTGACTGGTGGGGTGCACAGAAAACTAGATTAACACACATACATGTGCTTTCCCCACAAGGCTATATCTGCATCCATATTTCTGCTGACCTGCCTCATTTGGTATACCCGTATTGAAAGGCCTGGAAAGCAAAGCCCACTATAGCCACCTTGTTTTCCCTCAGGGCAAGTGGATTATATGAAGTGGAACTTATCCTAAGTGGATTATGTGAAGTGGAACTTCTCTGGCCCCATCTAGGAGAATACAAAAGCCTGGTGAGTAGCAGATCTCCATCACTGTTCTTTCTGCAGGTTCCTGGAAGCTGCTCTGATTCCAGACTGCTGACCCAAGTCCAGCCACCACCCAGGAGGAACTTGCTCACGCCTGGAACAGCCCTGACTTTCAGGTTGGATTTCTTTTTATTTATTTCTTCTGGATGCTATTTATTTTTTTTTTTGGGTCCGGTCGTGGGACCTGAACTCTTGGCCTGGGTGCTGTCCCTCAGCTCTTCAGCTCAAGGCTAGCACTCAACCACTTGAGCCACAGCACTACTTCCAGCTTTTTTTTCTGCTTATGTGGTGCTGAGGAATCGAACCCAGGGCCTTAAGCATGCAAGGCGAGCACTCTAGCACTGAGCCAACTTCCCAGCCCTGGATGCTATTTTTTTTAATGAAATTAAGTGACTGTAATACATGGTGAGGTTGCTTTGTATCAAGCGTGCTTGGGTTTGGTAAATTTTACCCTGCCAGGAGCACTAGCTCAGACTGAGTTACAGGGAAATTTCTGGGACAACAGGAGCTATGTAGAGCAAGGGGTAGAGCTCAGTCTTAGAAGAATTCCCTAATTTGGACAAGGAAGTGGGCTGTTCCACGGCAATGTCTGGAAAGGTCCTTTCATTTGGAGTATTATTAAGGACACATAGACAGACTGACTGGGGAATATCTGAAGGAAAACTCCAGGAATGAAGGAACCCAAGTGCCATGAACCTATATTTTGTTGGCTTATATCACTCAATACCGAACACTTGCAGCCATTTTTCTCCAAAGACAAAACCAGTCAGTCCTCCTGACTCTAGGAGCTTCACTACTGCTGTAACTGGTATTTGGGTCCACACAAACTTCCCTACCCAACTTTTCTCTCTCCCTGATGCCTAGGTGCTTGCTGGTTCTGCTTCTGCTGCTACTGCTTCTGCTTCTTTTTGTTGGTCATGGGGCTTGAACTCTGGGTCTGGGCACTGTCTCTCAGCTCTTCAGCTCAAGGCAAGCCCTCTACCACTTGAGCCACAGTGCCACTTCCGGTTTTCTGGTAGTTTATTTGAGTCTCACGGACTTCCTGCCAGGGCTGGCTTTGAACTGCGATCCTCAGATGTCAGTCTCCTGAGTAGCTAGGATTATAAGTGTGAGCCACCAGTGCCCAGCGTAATTTATTTTTTCTGTACTAACTGTGTAATACAAGTTTCAGGTGTTGAACTCACCCAATCAAAAATTCTTGTGCTTCTTTTTTTTTGGTTGTGGGGCTTGAACGCTGACCCTGTGCGCTGTCCCTGAGCTCTTCAGCTCAAGGCTAGTGCTCTACCATTTTGAGCCACAGTGCCACTTCCGGTTTTCTGGTGGTTCATTGGAGGTAAGTCTCATGGCCTTTCCTTCCCAGTCTGGCTTTGAACTGTGATCCTCAGATCTCAGCCTCCTAAGTAGCTAGGATTACAGGCCTGAGCCACCATTGCCCAGCCTCTTGTGCTTTTTCTTCAGGAGCCCACAACCATGAAATAGCTGCACAAAAGCTGCACTTACCCCCGAAAAAGATGAGCCAGTTGGCCCATGGTTTGCCTGGCCCGCAGCACCCCACAATTAGAATTGTCAAAGCTGTGCAAATGAAGCAGCAGCAGAGGGACCCCGTGCAGCTGAAGGTTCCCCCACCGGAAGAGGAAAATCCCTGGGTAAGTGCCAGCTTGGGGCCCTCCAGCATCACACATTCCAGAAATCACACAACTGATCTACCCTAGCTTCCTGTGAGGATGCCTTCTCCCATTCCCCACCTGGCACATAGAGCCAAGTAGACACCCAAAATGGCAACCTCCGTTGATCCCTACACACTTAGCCAGCTCTCCCAAATAATGGGAAAATGCTGCGAGTGTTCTCCCTGTTGGTTGCTTCTCTCTTCTCAATGAAGGCTTTACGAATACACATCTTTTCTGCTTGTTGTTGTTGTTGTTTAATTTAACATGAAATAAGCCCTCAGATGCCCTTTGTAGAAAGGACACTGAAATGAAGATGGCAAAATCTGTACACAGATTGACCCTTTTGTGCTGTCTGCCTGCATGTTTGCTCTATCTGAACACATCTCTCCTGTTTCCCTCACAGGTGAAATGTCAAAACTGTGGTGCCTTTGGACATAGCTCCAGGAGTAAGAGGTGTCCAATCAAATCTGACCTTGGCTCCATCACGCTCATGCCCTTGGGCCTCAAGAAAGAGAAAATGAAAGAGAACCAGAAACCACTGAATCTCCAGAGGCCACGACTCTTGGACCAGGCTAAAAGATACAAGGAACAGACAAGATGGTGAGTGGATGGGAAGGTGGAAACAACTATGGAGATTTAGGGCTAATATCTCTCCATCCCCCAACCCCACTTGCACAGCCAATAATGGGCAAGGTAGGGAGAAAAGGCCAAGAGCTTCCTGTCCCCTGGGGAGGAAGCTGGGCAAAAGGGACGGGTGCCAGAGTGATTGACGGCTCTACCATCCAGTCAGTAAGTGAGAGGGGTGAGCACAACTAGGTATTTGCCACCTGACTGGGAAAAGATGATTGATTCCCCGCCAGCCTCATTTATGCTTCATAAGAATGGTCTGCGATGTTGGAAAGGCTCTGACAGGAGGTGAAACTGCCCACATCCCAGCACCATACCCAAGGATCCGATGACGTGTTCTCTGTACTTGTGGGAACAAAGACTTCGCTCCACGGTGAAGGTGCAAACAGACTTTAACCTTCAACATCGCTTATTCCTCAGGTTAGCAGAGCAGCAGGGAAAGGCTGTACTCCAGGCAGTTTCCAGGAGGCACCAGGAGGAGGAAAAGCATAATTGGCCGGAAGTGACTGCGCCCTGTGCCTATCTGAGGGTCAGTGTCCTCCTGGGTGTCCTGTTCCTTTCCTCTTCTCAGTGATCCTGGGGGCTTCACTCTGTATCCCTTCTTCAGGAAGCTGAGTTCAAATATACACGGGCAGAGGTGTATTTTCATGGACCTCTGAGGCAGAGGTATATTTTCATGGAACTCTGGGTAATGAATCCTGTGTCTTCAGGAATGTTTACATGGGATATGGATTTCCACTGTGGCACACAAGAGTGAACAGCAAATTGTGTTTAGTTATTTCAACCATGTCAAACTTACAGTGACTGTAGACATTTATATCACATAAGTCATCCACCTGTTGCTAGTGACTTGTTCCTTATAGTCACAGCCTTGTCGGTGCTTCCTACCCACCTCCATATCCATGAGGATGAAGACGTCTTTGCCTAGGGTTGACTCTGCCCTTCCCAGGCTGACTATATTTTGCAATCTCCATATCTCAGTGGCCTGAATATCTGGGTCTTCCTAGGGGGAACCCATACCTTCTTGCTCTTCTTGAAGATTTACCCTGACCCCTTCTTGGGTCAGCTGTATTCAAATGAATTTGATTTTCATTTCATGTGGAACACGTACCCATGAGTTTGTCTTTCCTGCAGCAACCAACCAGGCCAACCCTGTACCATGGAAACAGGAAAAGGTCCATCCCACATTCAGTGCAAGAAAGCCAGTCTCCTGTCAAGAAGGCTGATAGGACACCCACATGCCCACCAGTGCCACCCATCCAAGGACCTACTCTTGCAAGGGCAAGAGTCTGCTCACAAGGGCACAGTCCAGGTCAAAAGGACAAGCTCTCAGAACAAGGGACAGTTGGCCAAGTTGTTGGCCAGGCTATCACCAAAATGCATAGCACGGGACAGGTGGTCTCACAACTAAGGCCAGCCAAGCCTCCTGAGGAGAAACAACTCTACCTACCAAAGATAGCATGCAAAGAAGGTCATCAATCCAAAATCCCCTTTCAGGCACCAGGCAAGAGAGCTATCCCGGTCCCCAGGCAGACTGGTCAGAATCCCCCAAAGAAACCAAGATTCAGCCCCAGCCCAAGACCTGGGTGCAACACTGAAGGACAAGAGCTCCTGCATCTCCAGGCCCTAACTTTGCCTCTCACTACAAGCACACTGGATCTACAAGCTTCCCCACAGGCCAACAAGCAAACAGCTGTGCAGGAACCAAGCTTTCAACTCCAGCCCACACAGGGCTTCCCTCCCTTGCAACCTGCCCAGCCTCACACTGACACCCAACACCATGGGGTCAGCCCCTGTCCCGGCCAGCCACTCAAAATGGTCTTCACAAGATTGCACCATGACATGTGGGCCTCCAGCTTCCTGCCCCTTCCTTCACCTCACAGTACAGAGAAGATCAGCCCTTCTGCCAGCAAATTTCTTTTGCTGGATAAGGCTGAGGGGCACAGCTCTGGGGTCCCCCACAGTGTCCTGCATGAGAATCTTAGGCTCTCATCCCTCTGAGGAGAATGATATGGAAGCAGGCCCCTCTGAAACAGAAGGCTTAATGTCAATTGACAGCTGATTTAGAGCAGACTCTGTGTTGAGTCAAGAAGACGGGGGGGGGGGGGGGCGGCTGGGAAGGTGGCTCAGTGGTAGAGCACTTGCCTTGCATGCATGAGGCCCTGGGTTCGATTCCACATAAGAAAAAAGAAAAAAGCTGGAAGTAGCGCTGTGGCCAAGTGGTAGAGCGCTAGCCTTGAGCTGAAGAGCCGAGGGACAGCACCCAGGCCCAGAGTTCAGGCCCCACAACCAGACCCAAAAAAAAAAAAAAAAAAGAAGAAGACAGAGAGATATACACTGTACTTTGTGAATCCCAAACCCTCCACACTTTAGAATTGAAGAAAGAGCTGAGTGCTACTGGCTCATGCCTATATTTCTAGTGAGTTTGGATGCTGAGATCTGAAGAGTGTGGATGATACAAACTCAAACAGGAAAGACCTTGACACTTTTTCTTTTTTTTTGCAAGTCCTAGAGCTTGAACTCAGGGCCTGGGCACTGTCCCTGAGCTTCTTTTACTCAAGGTTTGTACTCTGTCACTTGAGCCACAGCACTACTTCTGGCTTTTGCTATGTATGTGGTACTGAGAAATCGAACTCGGGGCTTGATGCATGCTAGGCAAGCACTCTACCACTCTACCACTAAGCCACCTTCCCAGACCAAGGCCTTGACACTCTTACCTCCAATAAACCAGAAAAAAAAAACCAATAACAACAACTGGCAGTTGAGTGGTTGCTCAGGTGGTAGAGTAGTCACCTTGAGCACAAAATGCTCAGAGACATTTCCCAGGCTCTGAGTTCAAGCACTAGAAGCAGCGCATGCGCGCGCATGCGCGTGCACGCGCACACACACACACACACACACACACACACACACACACACACACACACGAGTAAAGGTGAGAAGGAGAATTCCAGAGGCTTCTGGAAAGAGACAAACAGCACTTCCACTCTGAATCCAGCAGAAGTTCATGGCACCTTCAGAGAATCTGACTCTACTCAGGAACTGAGTTACTGTACAATGATTTTGGACTCTAATTTCAGGTACCTGAAATCCTACCTTTCAGGTGGTGCTGTAATGGCTGTATCTTTGATACTAGATGAGGAGAAATGACACTCAATTGTGTCAGTGGAACCCATTGCTTATTTGGTTTCTTACAAGGTCAATTTATTCATATGTAAATATGTATTTACAATATCATTACTAATAAAATTTTACCTAATATCTCTTGTATGTCCACATTTTCCTGTCTCAGTAGTGCTAGTCTTTTATCAAATCATTCCGTGGCTCAGGCCTATAATCCTAGCTACACGGGAGGCTGAAACCTGAGGATTGAGGTTCATAGCAAGCTCATGCAGGGAAGTTCATGAAAACTTTATTTCAGAAATATTCAGGGGGCTGGGAAGGTGGCTCAGTGGTAGAGCTCTTACCTTGCATGCATGAGGCCCTGGGATCGATTCCTCAACACCACATAAGCAAAAAGTAAAAAGCCGGAAGTGGCACTGTGGCTCAAGTGGTAGAGCGCTAGCCTTGAGCTGAAGAGCTGAGGGACAGAGCCCAGGCCCAGAGTTCGGGGCCCACGACCGGACCCCAAAAAAAAATTATTATTCAAAATTAACCTCCAACATAGCTCGATGTGGAGCTGCGGCTTAAGTGGTAGAATGCTAGCCTTGAGCAAAAATCTACTCAGGGTTGGGCCCCTGTGGCTCAGGCCTGTAATCCTAGCTATTCAGGAGGCAGAGATCTGAGGATTGAGATTCAAAGCCAGCTCAGGCAGGAAAGTCTGTGAGACTTTTTTTTTTTTGGTCATGGGCTTTAACTCTGGGCCTAAGCACTGTCCCTCAGCTCTTCAGCTCAAGGCTAGTGCTCTACCACTTGACCCACAGTGCCACTTCCAGCTTTTTCTGTTTATGTGGTACTGAGGAATCGAACCCAGGGCTTCATGCATGCAAGGCAAGCACTCTACCACTGAGCCACCTTCCCAGCCCTGTGAGACTCATCTCTAATTAATCACAGAAAAAGTTGGAAGTAGCACTGTGGCTAAAGTAGTAGAGTGCCCTGAGCAAATGGAGCTCAGAGACAGTGCCCAGGCCCACAATTTAAGGCCTAGGACTGGCAAAAAAAAAAAAATACTCAGGGTCTCTCCAGGGCTCTGAGTTGAAGTGCCAGGTAAAGCATAAAACAAAAAATCATTTCAGCTTACGGAGGATTCATAGCATCATAGGAAGACCTTGGCAGTATCTAGAGATTGTTCAAAATCCACCGCTCAAGTGAGACCCCGCCCACTGAGTCACTCTGCATATTCAAGGCAGGTGGCTCTGAATCCTATAGACTTGTGTGTGTGGATTTCTGATTGGAGCTTACTTCCTCTCTTTAAGTTCACCTGAGTCCCCACAGTTCAAAATACTGCTAAGTTCATATGGAAGCTTCTCCTACATTTGATGTGTGACTCCATCAGAACTCAATGATTCTGAAACACATCTAATTGAACTTAGTCCCAATTCAACAGAACCTTCACTTGCCTTTGAAGGCCTGCACTGAGAGTTTGAACACACGAGGTGAGTCTAAATCTTTTTTTTTTTTTTTTGCCAGTCCTGGGGCTTGAACTCAGAAACTGGGCACTGCTCCTGAGCTTCATTTGCTCAAGGCTAGCACTCTACCACTTGAGCCACAGCGCCATTTCTGGCTTTTTCTGTGTATGTAGTGCTGAGAAATCGAACCTAGGGCTTCATGCATGCTAGTCAAGCACTCTACCACTGAGCCACGTTCCCAGCCCACAAAGGTGATTCTAAAAGGAAGCCAGCTAGGAGAATGAAATGGTGTGCTAAAGTCAGAAGTCACTCACAGGCCATCTCTACTGTCTACCTTAGGATGATTGCTGACCACGGTGTTCTGAGAATCTTGATGGCATGGTAGAGAGCCCCTTCTTTTCTTCTTTTCTTCTTTTTTTTTTCTGTCATGGGGCTTGAACTCTGGTCCCTGGGCGCTGTCCCTGAGCTCTTCAGCTCAAGGCTAGTGCTCTACCACTTGAGCCACAGTGCCACTTCCATTTTTCTGAGTGGTTTATTAGAAATAAGATTCTCACAAACTTCTCCTGCCCTGCTGGCTTTGAACTGTGACCCTCAGATCTCGGCCTCTTGAGTAACTAGGATTACAAGCATGAGCCACCAGCACCCAGCCAAGTGAAAGCCCCTTCTTAATAACACCTGGAGTTAGCCATCCTTAGCATACCTTCAGCACCCATGGCAGAAGGAGGCAAGAAGCCTCCTTAGAGGCCACCTAGAGGCCATAAGCAAGGGCATATGCCCCAACCAAGGCTGCAGAAGTCACTGCTACCCTCCCACATTTAGGAGTGGTGCTTCAACTGGGTTCCTGGTTTGCCTACTCTCCCAGGTAATTGTCTGCCCTTCATTACCAGCACATGTTGAAGCAATTCATGCCACTGTGGATGTGTCTGGGCCAAAGTTCCAGAAGTCTCTTCTCATCTCAACCCACTGGTCCATGTGGGGCTTGAGGATCAGATATACATCTGTGTATCTGTATATACAGATGTATAAACTGTAGCTCTGCAGCCTCCCATTTCTGCTGCAAACGAACAATTCTAGAATCTGGCCCAATTTATGCATAGAGCTGGTGGTATAATTTGAAACAGGCTATAAAAAGAAAGGACACAATTGTGTGCCTTTATGCTCAACTTGCAGTAGAAATAGTAAAAAGAACTCAAAAGTCAATTCAACATACCCAAAAAAATTGGAGCAGGACATGTTAGTACACACTTGTAATTCCATCACTTCAGATATGGAAAAAAAAAAGGGAAGATTACAAGTTTGAAGCCACCCTGGGCTACATAAAGAGACCCTGATCAAACCACCATCCTCCTCCTAAAAACATTTTAACTGGAAAAATTGCAATGCTTAGAAAGTGTTTTCTTACAAACAGTAGCTACAAAAAGTCAAAGAGAGGGGCTGGGAAGGTGGCAGCTCAGTGGTATGGTGCTTGCCTTGCATGCATGAAGCCCTGGGTTCAATTCCTCAGCACCACATAAGAAGAAAGCCGGAAGTGGCACTGTGGCTCAAGTGGTAGAGCGCTAGCCTTGAGCTGAAGAGCTGAGGGACAGCACCCAGGCCCAGAGTTCAGGCCCCATGACTGGACCAAAAAAAAAAAAGTCTAAGAGGAATAGGAACAACTCAGTAGAAACTGCAACAGGGTAAAACCAGACAGTTACTAGAAGAGGAAATGGAAGTAGCCAATAAAATCTATGAGGCTCTGGTTTACTGCTCTATTTACTGGAGTTTTTACATGACATCACAGGGCCAGGCACATCATAGGAGACCAAATATCATTTATGGAATAAGTACCCTAACTCCACAAGGCCTGCTTTCTGCCTTGGTCCTACCCCCAGCCCACTCACCTTGGCCCACTCTAAAATAAGCCACACCCTGTCCATCTTGGACCTTCTGAAAGCTAGGCCCCACCTTCTCCCTGGCTCCGCCCCCTGAGGCCCTGCCACGCCCCCTCATCTCTACCTGCAAGCCTCTGTCTCTGCAGACAAGTCCCTAGCCATGCCCCAGCACGTGCTACTGTGCGTTTTAAGCCAGTTGGTACCAGCTAACGTCAATTCCACGTCACGTGCTTCTTCTCTGGGTCCCCCTGAACCAAGGGCGCAGAGATGGAGGTGGAGGTGCCCCCTTAAAGATCCTCGAAGCCAAGGACCAAGCTAGGGGACTGTGAAGGACCTGGTGTCTACCAAAACAACTCTCCTGGTCCTGGGATGCCCAGAACTCTGCATCACTGCTGCTTGGGAAACGCTCGGGCTTCAGGTTCAGGGGGGAGATGGAGCAAACGTGGTACAAAACTTCCGAGCCTCTGAAAATCTCCTCCAAAGTCATTTCACCTCCCACCAAGTGGTTCTTCTTGCCTAGGTCCCTTGCTGTTGTCCCATGCTCCCTCACCCCAGCCCCACAGGACCACAGCTCTCTCCAAGCCAGGCCTGTCACCAGGAGACCCCAATGAGTCATAACCCTAGCTGGGCTCTGGTCGCTCATCCCTGTAATCCTAGCTACTCAGGAGGCTGAGATGAGATGAACACCATTCAAAGCCAGCCTGAGGATACAAGTCCCTGATATTCTTATCTCTAATTAACCAGCAAAAACCTGGAAGTAGATCTGTGGCTCACGTGGTAAAGCTCCAACCTTGAGAGAAAAAAAATGATGGTAAAGTGTCCAGACCCTGAATTCAAGCCCCAGTACCTGCACAAAAACAAGTAAATTACCTTCAGTACTTGGTGCTGGGAGAGGCTCAAGGTTCAGCAGATGAATAAGATAAAGGGCTGGGAAGGTGGCTCAGTGGTAGAGTGCTTGCCTTGTATGCACTCTGGGTTCAATTCCTCAGCACCACATAAGCAGAAAAAGCCAGAAGTGACACTGTAGCTCAAATGGTAGAGCACTAGCCTTGAGCTGAAGAGCTGAGGAACAGCGCCCAGGCCCAGAGTTCAGACCCCCCAACCGACCAAAAAAAAAAAAAAAATAGAGAAATAAAGAAGGTGATCAGAGCCAAGGGATAAAACCACCTCAGAGCACCAACTGGGCACACTGGTGAATGGGATTGTGGACTCTCTGGGTTTGACAGTGTCGCAGAGAGGATGCATATCTGATGGTTAGATCTTCAGAGCTCAGGGGGGTGGACTGCAAATGGACACGGAAAGTGGTATTTAATTTTCTTTATTGCACTGCTAGGGATAAAAACAGAGGGATTTGCCCATGCATCCAGCAAAAGCAAGGGCCACAAGTATGACCTTGACCTTGTGCCTCTCTTCCCCAACAGTGCACCAATATGGACACCACTGCCTTCTATGAGAAGGAAGACGACAAGAACACAGGTGCCTTCCTGGATCAAGACACACCATGGGGGGGGGGGGGGGGGAGAGAGAGAGAGAGAGAAAGCAGGCCAACCATTGGGTACCACTCACCTGCCTGTGCAGCAAGCCTTGCAGAGTCCTGGTGGTTACAAACCCCCATCACTGAATGGTAGACTCCAGATAGGAAATGGGGCTGCCATGCTGGGCATGTGAGGCCTAAAATGTCTGGGTTGCCATTGCCAGCCTTCAGTTTACCCTGTCTGTTAAACAAATGGATGTTGGTGGGTTTCCCGGTGTCTGATCCTGAGTCAAAGTGGCTCAAGAGGAAGAGGTGGAGCTAACCCTGGGATCCAAATGTGCCAGCACCTCTTAAGCACAGTGCAAGGAACGCATCACCTGCCCATCGCCAACATCACCTTACTCCCTGATTGTTAAGAGCTCAACAAAGCCAAGCACTGGGGGCTCAGGAGGAGATCTCAGGAGGCTGAGATCTGAAGGTCAGGATGAAGCTAGCCCAGGCAGGAAAATCCATGAGACTCTTATCTCCAATTTATCACCAAAAAAAAAGGAAGTGGAGTTGGGAAGGTGGCTCAGTAGTAGAGTGCTCGCCTAGCATGCATGAAGCCTTGGGATCGATTCTTCAGTACCACGTACACAGAAAAAGCCAGAAGTGGTGCTGTGGCTCAAGTGGTAGAACACTAGCCTTGAGCAAAAGTAGCTCAGGGACAGCGCCCAGGCCCGGAGTTCAAGCCCCAGAACTGGCAAAAAAAAAAAAAAATTGGAAGTGGAGCTGTGGCTCAAGAGGTAGAGTGCTAGTGCTTGCCTTGCATGCCTGAGGCCCTGGGTTCGATTCCTTAGCACCACATAAGCAAAAAGAAAAAAGCCAGAAGTGGCATTGTGGCTCAAGTAGTAAAGCACTATCCTTGAGCTGAAGAGCTGAGGGACAGCACCCAGGACCAGAGTTCAGGCCCTATGACCGGACCAAAAAAAAAAAAAAAAAAAGAGAGAGAGGTAGAGTGCTAGACTTGAGCAAAACAATCTGAAGCATTTCCTAAGCCCTGAGTTCAAGCCCCAGGACTGGCACCAAAAAAAAAAAAAAAGGAGCTGTCCAACATGACCTGCAGTGAATTGGGCATCCCCAGCACCAAGGTCTTGTTAGGGGTCCGTCTGTCCTCTGTACCGCAGTAGTGCTCAGCTCTCCTCTTGCTACAGCATTCACCTGGGAGGTGAGGGCCAATAACCATGCCTTCCACGCCACATCCACCGAGAAGCGCTTCCTGTGCTGGAGGAAGAAGAAGTACAATGTAAGTAGCCTGGCCATCTCCCTAGCAAAGGGGCTTCTGGGCCTCATCTCCACTTCTGCTTTCCCTATCTGGCCCACCACCACCACAGTGCTGCCAGGACCCATTGTAGGAGCCTTTTTTTTTTAAATGCTCCCTGAGTTCTGGCTGTTCTAGACATCCCCTTAACACTTTCATTGTAACCACAATGTCACTATTTTGGTCTCATTTTTCCTACCAAATGCACTTTAAGTTAGAAGACAGCAACACTGGCTCACACCTGTAATCCTAGCTACTCAGCAAGCTGACACCTGAGGATCAAGATTCAAAGCCAGTCCAGGCAGATAAATTTGTGAAACTCTCATCTTCAGTTAACCAGTGAAAAGCCAGAGTGATGGCATGGCTCAAATGGTAGATTGGTAGCCTTGAGCAAAAAAGGCTAAAAAAGAGTGATACAATGACTTAATATAGAGCCTTAATATTGCACAATGACTTAATATAGAGCCTTAATATTGCAGCTTGTCAATCTTCTATCATCTCCTGTGTGGTTCTTGCTCTGGGAAATACTGGTGGCAATGCTCAATGACTTTCCACTCAGTACAAGTTCAGTTAATGCCAGCTGAAGGCTTTGCATGCAGCAGGCCCCTGCTCAGTGCTGGTGGAAAAGCCTTGCATTCAGCAGGTGCTCAGTAAACACTGGCTCAGTGGCTGTTTCATTAATGCCAGCTGTGGCCTCTCTGGTGGGACTGGGACCAGGAGGACTGGCACCAGGGCATCCTGAACCTGAACAGCACCCCACCGGGTTGGCTGGTGGCTCTCCTTCCAGACCAATAAGATCTGCACAGCCAAGTACAACGTCTTCACCTTCCTGCCGCTGAACCTGTATGAGCAGTTCCATCGAGCATCCAACATCTACTTCCTCATTATCATCATCCTGCAGGTAGGGCAGGAGCAGGGACACCTTTGGAAAGTCTTCTAGAGCCACCTTTGTCTATATAATGAACTGTTAATACTGGGCTCCTAAGCCACATGACTGAGTGCCTGCCACCTTGGTCCCTGGTGCACAGGAGATGCTCTGGATATAAGGACAGCCATGGGGCTTGGGCTAAGGGGAGGCAGCCCCTCCCCACAGGGACAGTCTTGGCCACACAATCTCCTCGGCCCATGCCCATGTGACCGTCATCAGACTGGGGAGACCAGAGATCCTCAGGACCTGCCAGGCCATTTCTAGACATCTGGGTGGTAGAGGTCAGTGTGGTTTGGGTGTAAGAGCCCTCCTCCTTCTCCCAGTGGGAACCTTGTGCCAGGGCCCCTTGCCATTTCTGTCCTGGGGAAAGTGATCCATTCTGCTCTCAACCCTGAGCTGTTAAGCATGAATGGAGCGCCTCCTGTATGCAGGCCCTAGGCGGGGCATAGGGTCCAACAGACCAGCAGGAGACTAGGGAACCAGCGGGGTCTGGAAAGAGCCTGTGTGGTCTTAGGTGGCTCTTAGAGGGAGTGATGGAAACTCAGACCTGAAGAATGGCCGGGAAGAGTGCAGAGGGAGAGGGAGAGGGTAAGGAAGCCGTGTAGACGAGGAGAGTACTGGGTGACTAGTGGATCTCATTGTACAGAGCATTCCTGAGATCTCCACTCTGCCCTGGTTCACCCTCTTTGCCCCACTGGTCTGTCTCCTCTTCATCCGGGCCATTCGAGATCTAGTGGATGACATCGTAAGTAGGCTCAGGGGACATGAGATCAAGGGTGTGTCCCAGAGCTCTGGTCCCAGCCTGGCAGGAGAGGCTGGCTCTGCTAGGCCATGAGTTGGCAGTGGGCCACATATCAGCCCTGGCAGCTGTGGTGGGCTGTGCCATCTTTGTCCTGCAGCCATGGTGGGCAGGGGCCCTCTGCCCATCACCTATCCGCACCAGTGGCCATATTTCTCTCTGCTGTCCTTATCCTGCAGCCAGAATGGGCAGGGAGCCTCTGGCCTTGTTGGCCATGTGGTTTTTAGTGGCCACTGGGCATGGCTGACTCTCTTGAGGGGAGAGGCGGGGCCTTCCTTCTTCCTACCCCTAGGAGTCAGCTTGGAGCCTTCATCCAGGTTCCCTGGACTTGGTAAGTGGCATCCACAGTCCAGGGAGGCCCAGGGTCAACTGGGGTGGCTGGTCTGAAGCTGGTCAGTTACCTGGCCAGGATGACAGCAGAGGGAGAGAGGACAGGGCTACCTCTCTAATTCCACTCTATTGGACCAGGGACGGCACAGAAGCGACCGTGCCATCAACAACAGGCCTTGCCAGATCTTGAGAAGGAAGAGGTACGACTAGAGGCAGCCTTGGGGGGGGGGGACAGGGGGAACATGCTGGAGAATGAGTGCTGGGCAGAGGTGCCAGCAGGATGGCCAGCACCTGCCCATGTTCCTAACTCTGACCCAGGACTGCATTTATTAGGCACATGATGTCTATCAAGACACTGGGTTGAGCACAAAGAGGCCAAGGACCTGATTCCACCTCTGTGTGTGTGTGTGTGTGTGTGTGTGTGTGTGTGTGTGTGTGTGTGTTGTTGTGGCCATCCTGGTGCTTGAACTCAGGGCCTAGATCCTCTCCCTTAGCCTTTTTTGCTCAAGGTTGGCTCTCTACTACTTGAGCCACACCTCCACTTGTGGCTTTTTTATGGCTAATTGGCGATAAGAGGCTCATGACTTTCCTGTCAGGGCTGGCTTCTAACCATGATCCTCAGTCTCAGCCTCCTGAGTAGCTAGAGTTACAGGTGTAAGTTCATCCAAAGGAGACAATGGAGAAAGGCCGGCTGGAACTTGGACAGGAGGACTTCAAAAGTCACTTGGCAGAGAGATGTGGACCCTGCAGAGGGAAAAGGAAGTTAGAAAAGACTAACTGGGGAAGCAGCTACTGAGCTAGCAGGGCCTCGCGGTAACCCCCTGCTTGTTCTCCATGGGGTTGGGTATCCTGGGGGGTGGGGGGAGGTCTTCACACTCCTGCCCTCGCAGGTTCAAGTGGAAGAAGTGGGAGGACATCTGCGTGGGGGATGTGGTGTGCCTCAAGAAGGACAGCATCGTCCCAGTAAGTCCGTACTGAGCCGTGCGGATCCCGGGAGAGACTCCCCTCCCTGTCTTCCATTCCCACTACAATAGTGTCTCCTCCCTGCTTGATTCAGGCCGACCTGCTCTTGCTGGTAAGCACGGAGCCCAGCAGCTTGTGTTACGTGGAAACAGCTGACATCGATGGGTAAGCTGAGGCACCTGTCTTGTCTAGAATATGAAGCGTGAGGCTCCAGTCTCCTGTCATGAGCATTTTGTGGGGAAGAGCCCACAGAGTAGGGGAACACGATCAAACAGAGAAGCTAGGCGCCAGTGGCTCACTCCTGTAAATCCTAGCTACTCAGGAGGCTGAGAGCTGAGGATCAAGATTCAAAGCCAACTGGGGCAGGAAAGTCAGTGAGACTCTTATCTCCAATAAACTTCCAAAAAACTGGAAGTGCAGGTATGGCTCAAGGGGTAGAGTTCAAACCTTGAGCAAAAAATCTAAAGGACAATGCCCAGGCCCTGAGTTCAAACCCCAGTCCCAACACATGTGTGTGCACGTGCGCGGGCACACACACACACACACTAACCAGGGCTTCATCTATGACCACTTTTTTTTTTTATCACTTTCTGCCCCTTTTCTGCCTCCTTTTGTCACCAGGGAGACGAATTTGAAGTTCAAACAGGCTCTGACAGTCACCCACCAGGAACTGACCAGCTCCAAAAATATGGAGTCCTTCCAGGGTGAGTGGGAGGGGGAAAGAAAGTCCTGGGCACACATCTGGCTCCATTTGCCCCTCGTGGCTTCCATGATGCTTCAGAGGTGTGAATTCCCACCCCACACATCTGTAGTTTCTTATTTTCCACCCTGAAACATTTCATGAGTGTGATGTGGATGCAGTTAGCATATGCTGTAGCTTATTGCTGTAGCTAGTTGCGCTCTCTCTCTCTCTCTCTCTCTCTCTCTCTCTCTCTCTCTCTCTCCCTCTCTCTCCTTGAATTCAGGGCCTGGGCACTATTGCTTAGCACTCTTAGCATTTTCCTCTCAAAGCTAGCTATCCAAGACCCTCACCAAGACTAAACCCTCACCAAATGCAGCCTTAGTGTTGCTTGTACCCAGAACCCAATTGCTCAAACAGGAGAGAGGCTGCAAACACCTGGTGGCAGTGTGTCAGGATGTTTGATGGCCATGGCATCCAATAGGTGCAGTTGCTGCGTGAGACTCTCTTGAAGGGCCCTCCCTTCTTACCTTCGTTCCTCACATTTTCACAAAGCTTCCACTGTATGCCATGTGCTGAGGCTCACAGGTATTAATGATGCTGTCACACAGACATAACCAGCCACATTCGAGGATGGGAACACAAGGGAGGGGGTAACGGGGCAGGACAGATCTGTTTGGAAAATCAGGATGTGTACAAAGATCCTGAGGTCACAAAAACAATTTGGAGTATTGCAGGGGAGGCCAAGTAGTGGGGTGGAGATGCCACTGGGGCAAATTTAAGGTACTATGGGACCAGAGCAGGATCAGGCCTGGAAGGTGGCACCCTCGCTGCTACCTCCACCTGCCATGGAAGCAAACCATGGGAGCCGGGTCTATCAGCAGCCGTGCCATGGCTGCTGACTCCCAGGTGACCGCAGGCACTGTGCTGTGTGAGGAGCCCAACAGCCGGATGCATCACTTTGTGGGAAGCCTGGAATGGAACAAGAAGACATATTCGCTGGACATCGGCAACATGCTCCTGCGGGGCTATAAGATCCGCAATGTGGAAGCCTGCTATGGCCTGGTCATTTATGCCGGTACAGCTGCGCCAGCCCCTGAGCCCATTCCTGCTGGGTGGGGGTGGGCAAGGGGAGAACACAGAAGTCATCCAAAGCTAAGCATGGCCATCATGAACCTCTTGAGAGACATGGGCTCCTGTGGCTTGGGGTCTTTGGGCTCCAGGTTCTAAGGAAATGGCCATGCTGAGTCAATACCTTTGTGATGATTGTGAAGCTTTAGCTTGTCATCTTTCCACTTTCTAGGGGCCCAGGTCAGAAAATAGAAAGTTCAGTGGATGGGTGGATGCGCAAATGGATAGATGACTGGATGTTTTGATGGGTTGGTGAATGGTTGAATAGGTAGATGGAAGGGTGGATGGATGGATTTGTGACTACTAGGTGAGTAGGTGAGTGAATAGGTGGGTGGGAGGGTAGGTGGATAGAGGAATGGGTGAATGGGTAGTGGGTGGAAAGATGGATGGATGGATGGGATGGTTAGTTAGATGGCTAGGTTATGGAATGGTGGGTGAATGGATGGTTCAGTGGATGGTGGATGGATGTATATAGGTGGATGGGTGGGTAGATGAGTGGGTAGATATGTGGAATGGATGGGTGGATATGGTGTGATGGATGGATAAGTGAGCTGATGAGTAGGGGTATGTAGGAGATAGGTGGGTAAATGTGAAGACTAGGTGGGTGGGTTGGTGGGTGGAGTGACACATAGATGCCAATCTACAGGTGTTGACACAAAGATCATGAAGAACTGTGGTAAAATCCATTTGAAAAGGACCAAGGTCGACCTCTTCATGAACAAGCTGGTGGCCATGGTGAGCAGCCAACCAGAGGTCTTGCAGCTATTGGAGAGCCACTTAGCAGGGGCAGGGGAGGTCTCCACTACTGCAAGAAACCCAAACTGCCCTCCTCCTCAGTAAGCTAATCATTGGTGCTGGTCTTGAGGCCAGAATCTTTGTTTAATTTTTTTTTAATTTTTATAAGCTGGAGCACTGTGGCTCAAGCCTATAATCCTACTTGGGAGACTGAAATGGGAAGTTGGATGGATAGACAGACAGATGAGAGAATGGATGGATAGATGGATAAATAAATGAATGACTAGATGGATGAATGGAAGGGTGGGTAGATGGATGCATGCCTGCATGGATAAATAGATGGATGGGTGGATGGATGGGTGGGGTGGGAGGGTGAGTGAATGGGTGGGTGGGTAGGTGCGTGGGTGCGTGGGTGGGTGGGTGCGTGGATGGGTAGATGGATGGATGGGTGGATGGGTGGGTGGGTGGGTGGGTGGATGGATGGATGGATGGCTGGATGGGTGGGTGGGTGGATGGATAGATGGATGGATGGATGGATAGATGGATGGATGGGTGGGTAGGTGGGTGGGTGGGTAGGTGGGTGGGTGGGTGGGTGGATGGATGGGTGGGTGGGTGGGTGGGTGGGTGGATGGATAGATGGGTGGGTGGGTGGGTGGGTGGATGGATGGATGGATGGATGGGTGTGTGGGTGAGTGGGTGGGTGTGTGGGTGAGTGGGTGGGTGTGTGGATGGATGGATGGATGGATGGATGGATGGATGGATGGATGGATGGATGGATGGATGGATGGGTGGGTGGGTGGGTGGGTGGGTGGATGGATGGATGGATGGATGGATGGATGGATGGATGGATGGATGGGTGGGTGTGTGGGTGGGTGGATGGGTGTGTGGATGGATGGATGGGTGGGTAGGTGGGTGGGTGGATGGATGGATGGATGGATGGGTGGGTGGGGGGGTGGATGGATGGGTGGGTGGGTAGATGGGTGGGTGGATGGATGGATGGATGGATGGATGGGTGGGTGGATGGGTGGATGGATGGGTGGATGGATGGGTGGATGGATGGATGGATGGGTGGGTGGGTGGGTGGATGGGTGGGTGGGCTGATAGTATGAGGCCAGCCCAGGCAACAAGTGAGTGAGACACCATCTCAACCAATAGCTGGGGCACTTTGTGCTCACCTGTCACTCTATCTATTGTAGGAGCATAAAATAGGAACATCACAGTTCATAGAAACCAGCACAAAAAGTGAGGAACCCACTCCCCATCTCAAAAATAAGCAAAACAAAAAGAACTAGAGGCATGGAGTAAGCGACAGAGCACCTGCCTTGAAAGAAAAAAGCCCATTTATCCATCCATTCATTCACCCATTGTCCTAACCACACACCCACCCATCCATCCATCCATCCATTCATACATCCATCAATCCACCCACCCTCCCATCCATCCATCTAGTCATTCATTCATTTAAAACTCCAGAGCCTCCAAAAAGAAATAATTTGAGGGGCTGGGAAGGTGGCTCAGTGGTAGAGCGCTTGCCTTGCATGCATGAGGCCCTGGGTTCGATTCCTCAACATCACATAAGCAGAAAACACTGGAAGTGGCACTGTGGCTCAAGGGGTAGAGCACTAGCCTTGACCTGAATTGCTCAGGGACAGTGCCCAGGCCCAGAGTTCAGGCCCCATGAATGACAAAAAAAAAAAAAAAAAAAAATGATTCTGATGCTTTCTGAACCAGTAAAGTGCTCACCTGTTCCACCACACTGAAACTGAAACATTTGTAAGTCTGCACAATCATCTTCATGATTTATTTTTTCGTAAGTACTAGTGTTTGAATTCACAGACTTGCACTTGTTAGACTGGCCCAATACCACAGTCATGCCTGCAACCCTTTTCTACTTGTCATTTTTAGTGTAGGGTCTTGTTTCTTGCCCAGGCTCTGTAATCTCTCTACTTTTAGGCTTCCAGAAGTTATTGGAGATCACAGGCACAAGCCATCACATCCAGATTCCTCCCTGGGCACAGAGTCTCATGGACTTTTTCAGCCCAGGCTGGCCTAGAACCATGACCTCTGATCTCACCCTTCCACCTGGCTTGGGATGATGGGCATATACCACCGCATCCAACTCAGTTGAGGAGGTGTCTTAAGAGCTTTTCTTCCTGGGTTGGCCTTGAACTTCAACCCTCCTGTGCTCAGCCTCCCAAGTAGCTAACATTACAGGAATGAATCACTAGTTCCTGCCTCATCTTCCTGACTTTTTTATGCCCCCTAATTAAAAAAAAAAAAAACAGCCATGGAAACCTGGCAAAGACTAAGAGTATCTCTCACCCAACTCCCTTCCTGCCTCAGCCTTGTTCTCCTACTCAGTCATGATGCCATAGCTAGGGACTGTTCCCCACCCCCAACCTCTGGCTGTGACCATTTACATGAGTGAATCCCAGTGACAAATCCTTGGGGGGCTCAGCACAAACACACACACACCTGGCTGTCCATACCTCCCTCTCTCCTGTCCACTTATAGATCTTCCTGTCCCTGGTGATTATCTCCTTGCTTTTGACCCTGGGCTTCAGTTTCAACATCAAAGATTTCAAATGGAAGCACTACTATGTGTCTGCCAACCACCTGAAGTCTGAGATAGCGGAGTGCTTCTTAATCTTCTGGAGTTTCCTCATCCTGCTCAGTACCATGGTCCCCATGGCTTTATTTATCATGTGAGTCCTGCACCCTACTAGGGTGGCACCCATGTCTCAAAACCTCCACCCCACTCCACACACCCACTCTAGTCAACGGACAGGGCTGGAGCAGGCTAAAGTATGGAGAGCCGTATTTGCAGGGCCGAGTTCGTCTACCTGGGGAACAGCCTTTTCATCGACTGGGACATGCAGATGTACTACGAGCCGAGGGACGCAACCGCCAAGGCACGCAACACCAGCCTCGCGGACCAACTGGGCCAGGTGCAGTACATCTTCTCAGACAAGACCGGCACGCTCACGCAGAACATCATGACCTTCAAAAAGTGTTGCATCAACGGCCAGGTCTACGGTGGGGATGCCCGCCTACCCCCTCTGCCTCCGTTCCTTCCCTTGGGGCCTGGTTTGTCTGAGCTTGGGGGGGAAGGGCGGGCTGGAAGACCCTGAGTGACAGCCCCTAGGGAGCCAAGTCCTGAAGCATCCTTCATCTAGGCCCAGATGATGAGGAGACACCCAGACAGGTGAGACACCCACCTCTTCTCACCCTCCTCCAACCCAGGCTTTGCCCTGATGGAAGGCAGGAGAAGGTGGGGACCAACCTATAGTCCACCTATCCTGTCCCCCTCCACAGCCCCCTCTCCAGGAGAATCCCTATCTGTGGAATGAATTTGCGGACGGCAAGTTCCTTTTCTATGACAAGAAGCTCTTACACGTGGTCCGGCACAAGAAGGACAGGGTGGTGCAGGAGTTCTGGCGCCTGCTGGCCATCTGCCACACTGTAATGGTCCAGGAAGAAAACGGTGTGTGTGTGCGTGTGTGTGTGTGTGTGTGTGTGTGTGTGTGTGGCCCACCCACTCCCTTCACCTCAACCCTGGGCATTCCCAAGACACCCCTGGGTCCCAGGCAGGCCTAGCTCAGCCTCTTGGGCTCCCGTCACAGCCTGGAGGTGTCCCAAGCCCCCTCATCCAGGCTGGCCAGGCCATCCAAGCCTGGACCAAGACAAAATGGCCCAATCATGGGATTGGGGGAGATGCTGTATGGCCATAGGGGTGATGAGGTTCACCTGGAGTTTGAACCCCAGGAATCTGATGTCACATGGGGAAAGAATACAGACCGGAGCCCAAGTGGCTTCATGCACTAAGAAGCTTGAGAGGCCCCAGGAATCATGCCTCCCCCAAGTTGCTTGTGAACCCCTCAGGCCCTGTCTCTCCCTTCTGATGAGCAGGTGGAGAACAGGACCTTCTGTGTAACCTCAAACCCAGAAGGGTCTGTGGGCAGCCAGCTGTGAGGAAGGAGGATAGAGTGTTTTACTGTCTCCCTCCCCTCCACCACGCACACCCCCAGATCAGCCATTGTACCAGGCAGCCTCTCCCGATGAGGAGGCGCTGGTCACCGCGGCCCGGAACTTCGGCTATGTGTTCAGATCCCGCACCCAGGACTCCATCACGGTGATGGAGATGGGGGAGGAGCGCATCTACCAGGTCCTTGCCATGATGGACTTCAATAGCGTTCGCAAGCGGATGTCTGTGCTGGGTGGGTACCACCCCCAACCCCACCCCTGGCTGGGGATGCAGGGGGTGCAAGAGAGGGGGGGAGACCTGGAGAAGGAGTGTATGGAGGTAGCCCGGTCTCTCCATTTCCCAACAGTCCGAAACCCAGAAGGTTCCATCTGCCTTTACACCAAGGGCGCTGACACTGTCATCTTGGAGCGCTTGCACAAGAAGGGTGAAATGGAGATGACCACAGAGGAAGTCTTGGCTGTGAGTTCTGGGCACTCATATGTGTGTGTAGGGACAGAAGAAAGAGGATGCAGGAAGGGAGTATTGAGAGGAACGGCTCCACACACCTGAAGCGGCCAGGTTGTATAGGTTGTACACTGCCCAAAGCCCTGCCTTCCCTCTCACCTCTCATGCCTACACAGAGATGAAGTAGTCTGTCCTTTGACCCTTCAGGATCCCAGTTTCTGCCCTGCCATTCTCCCACCCCTGGTGTTCATTGGTACTTTAGAGCCTTGGCATACATGGCCCTGCAAGTACTTTCATCATTCATAACAGTTTGGTCTTTGAAGCCTACTCAAAGGACACCATCTGCAGGGACCACTCTCTAAACCTCTTCCCTCCAGCCCAGCCCTGAGCCTGCAGTGCTGGAGATATCCATGCCCCCACATACACACACACACACACACACACACACACACACACACACACACACACCAGTCACTCCCAAGGGCTTTCCTGAGGGTCCTTGGGGAGTCCTTCTCTGGTGGAGCCAAGTATCTGGTCACCAAGATCCAGGCTTTAGGAGTTCAGCAAAATGGATGGACCACTCCCTAGTTGGGTAAACTGAGGCCACTGTGAAGTTCTTGATACCCATGGAGCCCCGTTGTGCCTTGCAAGTCCAACCTCCTGCCCGTCATAGTCTCCTTCAACTTCAGGGGTCCCCATTACAGAGACCGCACCCCTTATTGGCCCTAGGTCATCCTCAAGGTGAGTGTACTCTGGGTCTGCCTTTAGTGACCTAGGGCAGAAGTTTGGGACCAGCTGCCCAGAAGAGGAGAGGGCAAGTTAGAGGCAGCCTTGAGAAAGGAGATGATCGCTCTAGGCAGCTTGGGCCATCCACAAGAGGGAGACAGAATGGAGAACAGAGTAGTGACTGCTCTGGCCACCGCAGGCCTTCGCAGAGCAGACCCTACGGACCCTGTGCCTAGCGTACAAGGAGATTGATGAAGACGACTACGAGGAATGGGAAAGCCAGCACCATGAGGCCACCCTCCTGCTACAGAACCGGGCCCAGGCCCTGCACCAGGTGTACGACAAAATGGAGCAGAACCTCCAGGTGGGGCAGTCACCTGGGGACCTGCGGGGAGGCCCTGCAGTCTGGTTCCAGGGAGTCCCTGCAACCCCCTCCTTCCCCCAGCTGCTGGGAGTCACAGCCATTGAGGACAAACTCCAGGACCATGTTTCGGAAGCCATCAGCAGTTTGAAGAGAGCGAACATCAAAGTGTGGGTGCTCACAGGGGACAAGCGAGGTGGGTCTCCGGCCCCTGGCCACACTGTCGCCAGTGTTCCACCCTGTCTGCCTGTCTGTCCCATGAGTGTGGGTCAAACATTGCCCTGGGAAAGACCATTGGAAACCCTCATCCACAATCCACGCACTCTGCAGAGAGAGAATTTAGTCCTCAAAGTATCTCTTCAAAGTAGGACCCTTACCATCCCCACCCCACCCCCGAGTGGGCATCTGCTGGGAGCCCTTCCAGCTCCTTCTACAGGAGCTCTACTGGCTGCCACTAAACAAGCTCGCCTCTGGCTTTCTAAAATCCCTCTTGTGGTAGGGGAAAAGATGATATGTGCCTTCACTGGGAGCTAGACTAGGATATGTATACACTTCAAGTATATACATACAAAAACCCAAATGTGTGGATACATATATATACACATATATACACACACATATATACACATTCACACATACATATACACATAGGTATATAACAGTCATTGTGTATTATGTATTATATTGACATTTTGTTCCATTATATAAATATTGAGCCTGAATTATATTGTGTGTCCTTCCGATTTTGAAGAAAATTAAGACATTTTCAGGGCTCCTAAAAAGCACAATGGGCCATCTGGCATGATATGTGTAAAGATCCGGGGTTCAAACTGACCTCCCCTAAGCTATCCCACACTTAGCAGGCCAACAAGCAGCCAGCCATTCCTGATTTGCTTAGAGCTGCAGCCAAAGTCTCACTGCCTGTTTTCATTGGCTGAACTGAATGACGTATCCTGCTCTGAACCAATCATCAATGGCTAGGGGGCCTGTGCTACTGCTTGCAATTGGCCAGGAATGCTGGGGGGGGGGGGAGGGACATCAAGTGGGATGGCTGTGGCAACCAGACAGGGCTGGGGAGGCTCTGAGTAGGGCTCTTTTACAGAGACTGCGTTAAACATTGGGTTTGCCTGCCAGCTGCTGGAGGAGAACATGCTCATTCTGGAAGACAAGGAGATAAAGTAAGCAGGCAGTGGGCAAAGAGTCAGGGTGCCCATGGCTGGTGGGACTGTCCTTGGGTCTGCCTGGCTGGACTTTCAGAAGGCCTGACTGCCTCTCCAATAGAGGAGAAAACTAGGCTTTGCTGGAGAGGGGAGGGTTGGAAAACTCAAGCCTCCCACTGCCACTCAGACGCATTTTGGAGATCTACTGGGAGAATGTCAGCAAGCTGCAGACCTCCAAAGGCAACCTGAAGATTCTGCCGCAGATCAACATGGCCATGGTTATTTCTGGGGACTTTCTGGTCAGTATCCAGTCCTTGGTGTGGAGAGGTCCTGGGAGGGGCAGCAGCAGATCATCAGGGGGTCTGGGAAGGTGGTCTACTACAGCTTCAAGTACAGATACCACCAGATTAGACCCAAAAAGGCCAGGTAACAGGAGAGATGTTGTCAAATCCAGGCAGAAGAGAGAGGTCCCAAGGAAGAGCCCCCACTGAATGAAGTCAGTGAAGGAGGTGTAATCGAAATGACGTAGCCCTCCTCCCTGCTGTCCAGGACCAGCTGATGTTCTCTTTGCACCAGAAGCCTCAGGCCCTGACTGATGTGGAGGAAGTGAACGAAGTTTGGCAGGAACCACGCCAGATGAGGAAGAACTTCCCACGGGCCAGGCGGATATCTCACTTATTTCAGAATCTAGGGACCTCGCAGGACCCACTGTCTACCAAAGTCTTGAATACCAATGAGAACTTCGAGATGTGGCGGGAGCGGGCCTTCGTGGAGCTGGCCTCTAGGTGCCAAGCAGTCATCTGCTGTCGGATGACACCCAAGCAGAAGGCCCTGGTGGTGGGGCTGGTCAAGAAATACCAACAAGTGGTGACTCTGGCCATTGGGGATGGAGCCAATGATGTCAACATGATCAAGAGTGCGTGACAACAGGCAGCCAGGTGGAGGGAGGAATGAGCCAGGGACCACTTCCAGGGCCAATTTGATGTATTTGTCCCGCAGCTGCAGACATCGGCGTGGGGCTGATGGGTCAGGAGGGGATGCAGGCGGTGCAGAACAGTGACTACATGCTGGCCCAGTTCTGTTTCCTGCAGCGATTGCTGCTGGTTCATGGTCGCTGGTCCTACATGCGGGTCTCCAAGTTCTTGAGCTTCTTCTTCTACAAGACAGTGGCCTGCATGATGGCCCAGATCTGGTTCTCCTTCTACAACGGCTTCACAGCTCAGGTACTTGGTGAGGGGGAACATCTAGATTCCTTCCCACAGCGGCCAAGAGGAGCAGTTGTGAATACACTTACAACATGGTGGATCAAGCCCGGAGTGGTAGTGCATGCCAATAATCCCAGCACTGTGAAGTTGGAGGCAGGAGGATCTGAGCTCCAAAATATATATATATGTATTTTTTTTTTTGAGAGAAGTCTGAGTTTCTACCCACTGGGTAGAAAGTCGCACTGCTGTTGCTGCCTATGAGCAGTGGGGTTCACTAAAGCATAGAATCTTAGCCAGGTACCCATGAGTAGTTGCACCTGTAATCCTAGCTACTCAGGAAACTGAGAGATGATATGTATCATCTATGTTTTTGGATAAATCTTTCATCTATCTCTGTCCATGTCAGTCTTCTCTGGTATCTGTGTTTACCAGTGTCATCTCTCACTTCATGTGTCCTCTCTGTGTACGTCCAGCTCACCCTGAGCCTATATTAGAACCTTCCAGTTCACCCCCAGGGCAGCACAGTCTCAGCCAGGCCTTCCCCAACTCCATCCCTAAGTGCTTTCAATAGTGAGATGGTTCTGGAATGGGGAGGAGAGTTGGGGCCACCAGCCATAGGTCTTTTCCAGCCCTTTACCTATCAAGAGTGCTCTCAGTCTAGGTGGATAGGGCTCTAGGGTGATCTGGAACATTCTCACAAGCCATTTCCCACCTACAGCTCCTTATTAAGCCCTCTAGTTACCACAAACACTTGGTGGAGGTGCCATTTTTTAAAGAAATAGACAGGGAGTCTGTGCACCGCCCCCCTTTTGTTTTTCCAATCTTCCAGTCCTTCTAGAAATCCACTTCATGCAACCTCAGGCTTAGTCCCAATGTTGATTGTAAGGTGACTTCCTGGCCGCCTAGGACCCTTCTTAGGTCCCTGGCCAGCTTGGCAGAGACCATGAGTAGAGATTCATTTGCACCCCTCTGCCTCTGAGCCTCTGAAAGTTGTATGTGTGCCCTTCTCTCTTTGTGCACAGCCCCTGTATGAAGGTTGGTTCCTGTCCTTCACCAATATGTTCTACACCACCCTCCCGGTCCTCTATATGGGGCTGTTTGAGCAGGTGAGCCGCGGTGGGGGGGGGGGGGGGTAGCCTGGCCTCCTTCCTGGGCAGGTGTGAAGTCCAGCTACAGTGCAGTCCAGCCCCTCTCTCCCTGTGTCCTGTAAGTTATCTGTTCCCACTAGAGCATCTCATGGAGGGCATTCTGAGGGGCCCTCTTGCCAGCCAGCTTCTCCTATCTGTGGAAGCCACACACCCAGCGACCCAAATCCTCGGCCTACACATCTGTAATGGGGAGAGAACATCAGACTGGGGGGAGGGGGATTCTGTTTTTGTCTTGCCCGCTCCTGGCAATGACAATCTCTACCTATGTAATCCACAGAACGTTCTGCACTGGAGAAGCTAGAGTTTACATTGCTGTCCATGTTTTTAATTTTTTTGATTTTAGTAATACTAGGAGTGCAATATCTGACCTTGTGCATGCGAAAACACATGCTATAGTGCTAAGCACATATATTTTTTTTTCATCACTGGACACATGCTAGATAAGGACTCTTTGCACTGAGCTATATTTCTCGCTGTTTCTTTTTTTTTGCCGGTCGTGGGGCTGAACTCTGGGCCTGGGCGCTGTCCCTCACCTCTTCAGCTCCAGGCTAGCACTCTACTACTTTAGCCACAGCACCACTTCTGGCTTTTTCTGTTTATGTGGTGCTGAGGAATCGAACCCAGGGTCTCATGCATGCAAGGCAAGCACTCTACCACTGAGCCACCTTCCCAGCCCTCTTGCTGTTTCTTTTTAAACTTTACTTTGACTTTACTTTTTAAACTTTACTTTACAATATAGCCTAGGCTGACCTGGAACTAGTTATCCTCTTGACTCAGCCTCCCAAGTGCTGGGATTATAGGCATATATCATGACACCAAACATCCTTAATTTTTTTTTGGTCGGCCATGGGGCTTGAACTCTAGGCCTGGGCACTGTCCCTGAGCTCATCAGCTCAAGGCTAGCACTCTACCACTTGAGCCACAGTGCCACTTCTAGTTTTCTGGTGGTTAATTGGAGATAAGAGTTTCAAGGATGTTCCTGCCTGGGCTGGTTTTGAACCTCAATCCTCAGATCTCAACCTCCTAAGTAGCTAGGATTACAGGCATGAGCCACCAGCATCCAGCCTGGCCCTTAAATTTTTTAATGATGATAAAATATAAACAATCATCCAGGATCCTTCAGGCATGATCTCAAGATCCCAGCTGACCCCAAGACCTTCAGCTATTCAAGTCCTTTCTACAGAATGGTGTCATGTTTGTATGGAACCTGCACGAATCCTCTTGTAGATGTTGATGTCATCCCTAGATGATGATGCAGATGCTGCACGCATCATTTTTATATCGTAGTATATAGAGAATGATGACAAGAAAACATCTGGACACATTCAGGATAGAGACATTTTTGTTCCCAGCTATGTCCCCCCTGTGGTTGATTAACTCTAGGCCCACAGAGCCTGTGGATCCCAAGGCCAGCTGCCTTGACAAATTCTCCATCTAATCCATTCTCAAGGGCACAGTTCAGTGGCATCCTAAGCACAACCACATGGCCAACCAACTGAACCCCAGAATTCTTTGAAACCCACTTCATTGCATCTTACTTGAACTCCAATTGTCACATGCCAGGAGTGGCCAGACCCTTCTGAGGTCCTGCCCCATACCTTGTTCTTAATCCCAAGAGCAAGCCTTCTGTTTTTTATCCATAGGATGTGAGTGCAGAACAGAGCCTGAGTATGCCCCAGCTGTACATGATGGGCCAGAAAGATGCACTCTTCAACTATGGGGTCTTTTTTCAAGCCATTTCCCATGGCCTCGTCACATCCATGATCAACTTCATCATAACGCTCCTGGCCAGCCAAGACAGTCCCAGTGACTACCAATCCTTTGCAGTGCTTGTGGCCTTGTCAGGTTTGCTGTCCATCACCATAGAGGTAAGAAAGTTGCCATGAATGGCTTGATCTCTACTTACCTCTGCTTGAAGGAGGGACCCAACAGGTGCCTTTCTTGAAACTGAGCTTGTCCCAAAGCACACTGAGCCTTCCCTCCCTTGCCTACCAGGCCATCCTGATCATCAAGTACTGGACTATTATCTGTGTGGCATGTATTCTGCTCAGCCTCGGCTCCTATGCAGTCCTCACCAGTCTTACCCAGAGCTTCTGGCTCTACAAGATTGCTCCAAAGACATTCCCATTTCTCTGTGAGCCAATAGTCACCCAGCAAATCCTGAGGGGGAGGGGTTTGTGTTTGGGAGGTTGAGGGGAAGGAAAAGCAGACAAAGTCCCGGCCATGTCTCATTCTGTGCCCAGATGCTGACTACAATGCTCTGACCCAGCTCCATGGCCTGTTGGTGATACTGCTGAATGTGACTTTGAACACATTGTTTGTCCTGGCCTTCCGGGTTATCCAGCTACTCAGACAGCTGCGCCCTAAGGTCAAGGTGAGGTAGGGCTGGGCCTAGGTTCTTCCCTAACTCCCTAGGACTCCATCAGCCACTTAGAGCCTTCATATGCTGTTCTCTGACACCCTAGGAGTGCTCTGATGGGGGGAGGGGCAGACTTCCCAAGGAAGGACTTTGCACAATGGACCAACCTGCATTCACATATAGGTACCATCAGATCCCACCTAGAGTTATTCAGGGGTTGAGAGTGAAAGAAACCACCTGAAATGGTCTAGGCACAAAGGGGACTTGGAAATACATAGAAACAGCACATGCACTAGGTGGACAAAGGGAGACCCAGCATGGTTCACCCATACTCTGGAGTGCTGCTCAGCCATGAGCAGGAATCCCCCCACACCCCCCAAACTCCCTCCTGGCTCTGAGACTTGAACTCAGCCTAAGCACTGTCCCCTGAGCTTTTTTGCTCAAGACTGGCACTCTACCATTTGAGCCACAGTTCCACTTTCAGCTTTTTGGGAGTTAAATGGGAGTTAAGTCTCACCAGCTTTCCTGCCCAGGATGGCTTCAAACCCTGATTCTCAGTTCTCAGCCTCCTGAGTAGCTAGGATTACAGGCGTGATGAGCCATCGGCACCTGGCAGGAATGGTCTCTGACCTTACACCATGGTCAGTGAGACCCGGTCACACACTGTATCATGCCACAACAGTCAAATTCAGGGGCAAGAAGTAGATTTGTGGATGTCAGGAGTAGCTGGCAAAGAGATGAGAACCAAGGTTTAAGGAAGGCAGACTGCTAGTTTTCCAGAATATTCTAGAAATTGATAGCGATGATGACTACATAACCATACTAATTTGTTTAATGTCACTGAAATGTGGTCTTCAGCAGGTTTAAGAAGGTGAATTTTACATCATGCATTTAAAATTTTAGATTTGTGGTCTGAGAAGGCCTTGCCATGTGGCCCAGGCTGGCCTTGAACTCATGATCCTCCTGTCTTAGTCCCTTGAGTGCTGGGATTTTAGGTGTATGCTTCCAGGCCTTGTTATATCATGTATTTTTTTTTATCACAATGAATAAAGGGTTTGTTTACTAGGTCATTTAATCAAAATATAGAAGGACAAGGGGCAACTAGCCATGTGCTCGTCTCACACCTACAATCCTAGCTTCAATCTGAGGATTGAAGTTCAAAGCCAGCCTGGACAGAAAAGTCCATGAGACTCTGATCTTCAATTAACCAGCAAATAAATAAATAAACAAATCCAGATGTAGGCCTGTGACCAGAGTGCCAGCCTTGATTGAAAAAGCTAAGGGACAGCACTCACTGGCACCCAGTTCAAGCCCCAGTGTTGGCACCAAAATAACATAAGAGCTGGCTTGGACAGCTCAGAACAGTGACTGAAATAGTGTACCAGTATTTCACCAGAGGCCTCTGCTACTTCTATTTATTATTCCTCCCTGCCTCGGCTCCTGCCACCTTCCTACCACGCAAGACACAGAGGGTCCCAGGGTTACTTCTGGCTTTGCCAACAGAAGGTGCCCAAAATGCCCAGGGAAGGATTTTAATTGGCCTATCTAGAATGAGGTCCCAGAACAAAGACAAAAAAAAGAATTTGATTGGCTGACCCAAAATCAGGTTCAGGACTCAGGTTGGCTCAACTTGGGTCTTCTGACCCAATCTGACCAATGGGCAGGGGGCCCAAGGCTTTGCTGGGCCCTCCCCGGGAAGAAGCAGGTTAACCTGAGCCCTGAGCCCGGTCAGCAGAGTGCAGGAGGGTGACCCCCCCCCCAACCCCTCACCCTGTCCCCCTCTGCTGTGCAGGAAGAAGAGGTCCCAAAGGAGGAAGTCCTGGGCGTGGAGGCCGTGCCTTATTTACCCCGGGAGTCCCGGGCCCGGCGCTCCAGCTATGCCTTTTCCCACCACGAGGGCTACGCCGATCTCATCACGCACGGCACGATCCTGCGCAGGCCTCACGAGGCCCCCAGCGAGCCGCTGTACGCCTCCCCGATCCCGTCCGAGGGGGAAGAGGAGGAGCCGTCCACCGGCCGCAAGAGGTCGCTCTGGCTCCCCAGGAAGACCTCCTCCTGGCTGCGGAGGAGTCGCCACCACACGGCCAAGGACCTGGCCGAGGACCGGGCTGCCTTCTCCGCCCAGAGCTCCTCCGTGACCGCGAGCACTCCGTCCGTGCTGTACTCGGAAAGCCAGGCATCGAGACCCAGCAGGTCGCCCACCACCATAAGCATGCCCTCCAGGTCCTCCCAGAAGATGTCCTCGCCGCCAGGAAGCCAGCCGTCGCTGGCGGAGGACTGGCGCTTGGTCAGCCCGTCAGAGCCGCCCTTCCAAACGTGGGAGAGCCAGCCAGACTCCTTGGAAGGGAGGTCACAGTCCTGGACACCATTCTGGAAGAACTGGCAAAAGGAAACCCACCCCCTCGGGGAGGACGCCGAGTCCCTTCCCAGGCTGACCCACACAGCCCCACCGAAGACGCTCCCACCAAGTGTGGATGAGGAGCCCCTGGTAGGGGGGACCTCGCCCACGGAGAGGAAATCGTCCTCATCCATGGGTGGGGCGTCTACCTAAGCTGTGGATGATCCATGCCCACCCAACTGAGTAGTGTGGCCACCCACCCCACCCCCAGCCCCTCCCACCCTCCAGAGCAGCAGCCATTGCCCGGTAAAAGCCAATCGGGAAGCAGGAGCCCCCCCCCTGCAAAGATGAGGCTCCGCAGCCTCAGTTTGCACTAATAAACCAGACTCCACCTCACCACAGGGTTTCTTTGGGCTCACTCTTTCCTGCGTGCACACACGCGCTAGTACTGGGGCTTGAACTCAAGGCCTAGGGCTATCCCTTAAATCTTTCCATTCAAGGCTGGTGCTCTGCCACTTGAGTCACAACTCTACTTCTGGCTGATTAACTGGACATAACAGTATCTTTTCTGCCCAGGCTGACTTTGAACTGCAATCCTCACAGCTCAACCTCCTGAGTTACTAGGATTACACGTGTGAGCCACCAGTGCCTGGGTGTTTTCCTATACTTCTTTTAGTGGAAGCCAAGCAAAATGTTTTGTTTTGTTTTGTTTCCCCATCATTTGTTGGCTTGTGCTGGTCCTGGGGCTTGAACTCAGGGTCTGGGCATTGTCTCTGAGGCTCTCTGTGCTCAAGGCTAGCACTCTACCACTAGAGCCACTTCCAGCTCTTTCTGGATAGTTTATTGGAGATAAGAATCTCATAGACTTTCCTGCCCTTCTCTAGCTTTAAATGGCAATCTTCAGATCTCAGTTTTTCTGGTTTTTAAAGGTAGTCTGGTGACACTTGCAAAGAAAGCTCTTTTTCTTCATTGTTGGTGAGACAGGTGTGGGCTGAATGCCCAGGCTTTGCCTAAGATCCTTGGCCACCCTCCTCTCGCCCCTGGGTCCTTCCCTGGGAGGTGCATATGTTCCAATGCTGGCATCATCTAGCACCTTCCGCCACCGGGTTTCCTCTCCTCAAATGAGCAATAGTCAGGATCATCTCAGAAGCAGGTTCTGACAAGGTGTGCTCTGAGGGCCAAGCTTCTGATTTTCAAAGAACAGACAAGAGCAAGGAGGGAGAAAGTCCCTCTTGGCTCTCTCCCCTGCCTCCCTCCCTGAGGGCAGAGTGGAGAAGCCCCCTTGCTTCCCCTGCTAGAATCGTCTCCTGTCAGCCAACACACATGCCAGGTAAATGACTAGAAAATAGTTTTCAAAAATATATAGACCTAGCACTGCAGTGGTGAACAATGGTGATGGTTTTCTTTTGAACTTTCATGCCAGTTGGCTGACAGAAGGCAAGACAGGTCTCATATATTGGGGACAAGGGACTTTCAATGTCCCAAAGAGAAAAAAAAAAACAGCCCTACTTTCCAGTTCTCATTAGAAAAGGGACTCAAGTGGCTCATGCCTGTAATCCTAGCTACTCAGGAGTCTGAGATCTGAGGATCATGGTTCAAAGCCAGCCCGGGCAGGAAAGTCTGTGAGACTCTTATCTCCAATAAATCACTAGAAAACGGAAGTGGCGCTGTAGCTCAAATGGTAGAGTACTAGCCTTGAGCTGAAGAGTGCAGGGATAGCGCCCAAGCCCAGAGTTCAAGCCCCACGACTGACAAAAAAAAAAAGAAAGAAAAGAAAAGGGACTCTTGCCAGGCACTAGTGGCTCATGCCTATAATCCTAGCTACTCGGGAAGCTGAGATCTGAGGATCGTGGTTCAAAGCGAACCTGGGCTGTGAGATTCTTATCTTCAAGTAAGCAACAGAAAAGCCAGAAGTGGAGCTGTTACTCAAGTGGTAGAGTGCCAGACTTGAGTAAAAAAGCTCAGACAGTGCCCAGTCCCTTAATTCAAGCCCCAGGACTGGCACAGAAAGAAAAAAGCAGCCAGGTGCCAGTGGCACATGCCTGCAATCCTAGCCATTCAGGCAGCTGAGATCTGAGGACTGTGGTTCAAAGTTAACCCAGGCAGGAAAGTCCATGCGACTCATATTCAATTAACCACCAGAAAGCTGGAAGTGGTGCTGTGGCTCAAGTGGTAGAATACTAGTCCTTGAGCTCAAGTGCACAGGTCCAGAGTTCAAGCCCCATGACTGACCAAAAAAAAAAAAAAAAAGCAAAAGAATAGAGTGCCATTAACAGGGCATATATTTATTAAATGAGACAATTAAATGAGTAATAAATGATTTTAAATTTTTTTAAAGAGGCCTGGGTGCCAGTGGCTCACACCCATAATCCTAGCTCCTCAGGAGGCTGAGATCTGAAGATGAACAAATGTTCATCAGCACTTGGATATTTGAAGCTGGTCACCAGTGACTCACACCTGTAACACCTGTAATCCTAGCCACTCAGGAGGCTGGGATCTGAGGATCGTGGTTCAAAGCCACCTAGGGCAAGAAAGTGAGACTCTTCCCTCCAATTAACCACCAGAAAACCAGAAGTGGTACTGTGGCTCAGTGGTACATTGCCAGTCTTAAGCGAAAAAGCTCAGGGACCATGCCCAGACCCTAAGTTCAAGCCTCACAAGGAGAGAGAGAGAGAGAGAGAGAGAGAGAGAGAGAGAGAGAGAGAGAGAGAGAGAGAGAGAAAGAGAGAGAGAGAGATCTAAGTTATTCTCTTTCTAACTTCACTTCTGCAGCAGAAAGTGCTATGAACTCACTCCTGGCAGATGTCTAGGTGTCACCTCTCCTGCCAAACCCACCACTCTGGGGTGGAGTGGGGGTCGCCTAAATCAGTGAGAGTCTGGCTTCTGGGACAGGGGCGGTTGGCACAGAGCGCAGCATCCTGCATGCAGGGAGCATAGTTCTGAAACTGGAAGAGCTGCCAAAGCGCTCCCCCTTCCCCTTCCACCCCCCCCCCCCCCCAGCACCGGAAGAACATCAGGGTGCAGTTACACGTCCTTCCCGATAGGCGACGCTGGTTGCACAAAATGGACGCCAAGATCGCACTTTCCTCGGTGACTCCCCCAAGAGGGGACACTCCCCGTGCTCCTCAACGCACTTCTTCCCGACAGCCATCCCGAAGGGACCGTGCTGGTTTGCTCGGCTGCCACGTCTATTTTGGAAACAATTGCATGAAAGAAAAAGGAACGAGGGAGAAAAGAAAGAGGAAAAGGCCGCGGAGACAGGCAAAAGGGAAGGGAGACGTTTCCACCGCGCCCCCAGCCCAACACACGGCCAGGAGCCGGGGTCCTCGCCTTGCACGGAGGGCAACAAAGAAAAGGAACGACCTAAGTCTGCCCTGGAACTCGAGAGAAAGCCGAGATTAAGTAAGGGAGGTGGACGCTCGGCCGACGAGGAAACCAAGGTCGAAAGGCAGGCGTGCGCTCGCTCGCTGGGGCGCACAGCGCTAACGCAGGACTACCCGGATTCCTGCGACCTCCGGGCCCAGAGCATCGCCCAGGAGCGGAGAGGAGAGGGAGGCCCGGCCTAGCCGGAGACCTGCTCTAGCTTTCTAGGAAGGGTCTCCGTCCCCGGAGCCCCCTCTCCTTGGGCCAGCTCTGAGAATTCTGGTCACACTTGTCCTTCAATCACACCCGGAGCTCTATTACCTAGTTCCCTGGTGGTCTAGTGGCTAGGATTCGGCGCTTTCACCGCCGCGGCCCGGGTTCGATTCCCGGTCAGGGAAGTTTACTTTTGCAAGTGCCATCTCCATATCTACCAAGCATCTTCCTCACTTCCATAGACCGGTGAATCCAGAACATTAAACACACTGGGATCATAAAGCCGGTAATGGGGCGCTGTGGGATGCGCCTTTGCTCCCCCTCTGGTGTGGGGGGGGGGGGGGGGGCTCACTGGCGTTTTGTCTGCACCTCCAAGACTCCAGCCATCATTGCTCGGCTGTTTCTTCCCTGACATCGCTTGCGTAGTGGTGGCTCTTTTTGAAAACAAAATGGGAACCACCCAAGAAAGAGGTGCTGACCGACGGTTTGCTCCCCCTCCACCGGCCACGGGAGGGCGCTCCACCACGACTCCCCCAGCTCTTCCCACGCTGAGGGAGTGAAGAATTCCTGGACCCCCTCCCCCAACCCCAGGTCCTTCCACCGGCCCCGGTGGCTCCCTGCCCCGCTTAAAGCAGTCACGGTGCTGTCCTCGGCCTTGCTTTTCCCCTTGGGCCTTCGGTGACCATCTAGGGGACTCAGGAGAGACACCGGGAAGCGGGGACCGAGCTCTCCCCGCGTCTGGATGGAAGATGTGTTGGACAAGCCCGCGCACAGGGAGCCGCTCTTCCTCGCCCGCCCGGGGAAGCGCGGCGGCAAAGCATCTGCTCCGGCTCGCTGGACTCCGCGGGAAGGACGAGGGCGGCTGCAGGGTAGATGAAGGCCGCAGCGGGGCCGTGGCGCGCCGTGATCGTATAGTGGTTAGTACTCTGCGTTGTGGCCGCAGCAACCTCGGTTCGAATCCGAGTCACGGCAGTCTGGCCTGGTTCCCCGGCTCCGTCCCTTTTGCTCCAGCGTGGAGCCGATCGCGCCACCCCTCTCATTCCCGCGCCGGCCGGGGGCACGAGATCCCTTCTCCATCGTCGTGGGTGCGGGCCCATGCGCAACCTCAGCTCTTCTCTGAGCCTTCCATGCCCGGATTCAGAAAGAGCATTTAAGGAGTAAAGCTGCTCGCGTCGTCTCGGCGGCCTGCGGCGTGTCCTCTGCCTGCCCGCGTGGTCCCGGCTGCCTGCAGTTGCGCTCGGCCCGCCCGGGCTCCGGGTGTCCTGCTGGAGAGGCAGCTGGGGGTCCAGGACCACACCCAGGATAAATCCAGCTGGGACCCTGCTGGGTCCACCCCGGGACCATGCTGGGACCCAAAGGGAGGAGAGGCAGGAGGGAGCGAGGGTGGGCGGTCACTTCTTGGTCCCCCAAAGGGCGCACTAAAGGGCTCGCTGGACCCCCAGGCAGAAAGCGAAGGACACTACCCATGATGTCACACCGAGGGCGTGCCCTATGCAAATGAGGTTGCCGCACGGGGCGGATGGGGGGGGCTGCAGTCGGACACCTGTAGCACCCACTCGTGGATTTCCAGTGCAGTTGGAGAGCGCGCAGGAGCATGGCTTGGAGAAGAAGGTGATAGCCGCTCCAAAGGGCTTGGCAAGGTCCTGGAATGGAGACGAAGGCTGATGACCATGTGTGTACGGTGCAAAGCATGGGAGGTTTAGACGGAGTTGATGGGCACCTTCTCATACTTACCTGGCAGGGGAAACACTATGATCACGTAGGTAGTTTTCCCAGGACGAGGCGTGCCCATTGCACATAGGGCGCGCTGACTCCTGCGATTTCTCCACATAGGAGAAACTCGACTGCGTAATTTGTGGTAGTGGGGGACTGCGTGCGCGCTCTCCCCTGGTCATGTGGTGTAATGATAGAACTTTCTGTTGTTTTAGAGGAATTGTTAGTTAACAAGTTGACAAATTCAATCTAATACGAAGTATTTTGTTCTGATTTCTTTTTTCCCTTTCCGAGGTTTCGCAGGTTTCACTGCAATCCTGGCTTTCTAGCTTTACAGGATGAGTTCTAAAAGTTTTTAGGGGACGTGGTTTTCTCCAAAAAAGATTGGAGGTAGATCAGCCCTCCGCTCCTCCCACCGCGGCACCTTCATCTGCATAGGGCGAGACCTCCGTGTGACGTCACGGACGGTGTTTTACTACCCGCGTTCGCAAAAACTACACATTCGGCGTGAAGTTAGAGACCGAAGCCCCGGCTTCCTCTAGGGCAGCACAAGGCAACCTGCGTTTCCTGAACGTGGAACGGGCGGCCGTGTGGGATGGCGCAAAATAAATAAGGAAAAGGGGCTTGGTGATAGCGTTTTTTGGTGTTATTGTAAAGGTTACAGTTACATAAGCCAGGTTGAGTACGTTTCCTTTGGGGCAGTGTCACCCCTTCCCCTGCTGTCTCCCAGTTTTTCCCTGCCGTTCAACAGTGTGCAGTGAGTACCAGTGCTGCATCTGATCAACCTGTAGCCCCTCCATTCCTGCTCCTCCCCTTGCCCTCCCAAAGCTGGTGACATTTTTGCTTTGTCCTGAGGGCCCTTTTCTTCACTGCTCAGACGACTGCTTTTTCCTATCTCTGCTCTCCTCTCCCCCCCTCTGGTCTCTCCTCTCGCGTTCCTCCCCCAGCCCCCGCCCTCCCTCCCCCCCCCCTCTTGCTTTCTGGCTTCCCTGCGCCCAGAACCACCTGTGGCGGAGAACGGGGCGCCCAGCGGGGCGGGACCTCACTTGGGTGCTAGGGATCGGGGTCCCTGGGGGCTTTGACGGGATTCGAACGACTCCCAGAATGCAAGGCCCGGCGGCTCCCTGGACAAACAGTTGAGCTCCCGCATCCCGCGTTCAGGAGGCGGAGTGGGGACCTCGGGCGATCGCCCCGCTTGGAGAGGCGGAGAAGCCGTGGATGTGTGTGTCCGCCGCCCGAGTCCCCCGGCGGACTGTCCCCGCCGCGTCTCACCTTCGCGCGTGCCCAGTGACGTGACCCTTGGCCTGGATGTCTCCTCCTGTGTTGTTTTTGACATTTATTTATTGAGCATTTATAACCTTTGTTTACCTGCTTGCAGGAGGGCGAGAGATGGTTTGTGAGGTGTAGAAGTGTGCTGTACAACTATCTGGTGAGTCTCTGTGGCGCAATCGGTTAGCGCGTTCGGCTGTTAACCGGAAGGTTGGTGGTTCAAGCCCACCCAGGGACGCTGCTACGGTATCTTTTATTTCATTGGAGCCCTTTGTCTCTGACTTATCTGCTACTGGGTGTAACCTTCATAGGAAACCACATTAAATGAAATAACGTGCTTCCTCAGAGCTCGATCCTTGTTCAGTCTGTCTCCCCCCGCCCCCCTCCTTCCGCCAATAACAACTCCATAATGGATGGTGAGAAGTGATGGGTTCTTACGGAAGGAAGGATCCACAGAGAAAGGAGAGGCTGAGGGCTGAGGACATTGCGAGCCAAAACGCCCTCAGCTACAGTGAGGAATGGTCACCGGTCATCTGCATCTTGTTTTGTGTTTTTTTTAACCCTTAAGGAGTTGGACAAAGGGGTTTCAATTCAACGTGTGTGTGGTCCAATGAGTCTTGATCATATCACCCCTTACATCATTCTCCCCATCCTTTCCAGTCCCATCCATACCCTCAAATTAGGTACTAGTATCTTTATGTATGTCTGTTGAATGTACAGGCCGTATTTGCCCACCTTTGCTCTATTCATCAGTCGCTCTTCCTTTTGCCCCCTTCCCCCAAAAAGCATGTTTGACCTTCATGGTATTCATTTGTTAAGCCGTTCATTCGTTATTTAGAGGAGTTACATGTATGTTTTCATAGATGTTTATACTGTAGATGTAACTTTCACACATGGGAGAGAACGCCGGTTGTCTCTCAGCCTGCCTTATTTCACTCAGCATACTTTTTTCTAGGTCCATCCATTTCCCTGCAAATGGCATAGTTTAATTTCCAGTAGAGAAAATTCTATTTTTCTGATACTTTTGTAAACCAACTTTTGCAGCAAGCTTGTGTTCATGACACAAGAGGCGGCACTGACGCGTGGTGACATTCACAGCTGTGGCGGGCTAAAGAGAATCGGTATCTTTCCTGGGCCCTGGGGGCTGACAGGCAAATCCGGACAGAGTATTTTCATTATTGCCTCTGTGTGTGTGTGTGTGTGTGTGCGCGCGCGCGCGCACGCGCCAACATTGATGTAGTTACTTCTTTCGAAATGATTGTGAAGTTATGATTATATCTTTTTTTTATAAATTACAGATAATGTCGGGGCAGATCACTCTGGTCACCCCTTTGCCAGGTGTAGAGAGATGAGTGACGGGCTTGGTGTGTCAACACTGCTGTCTTGGGCGTGGACTCTGCTAACTCATCTTCCTCGTGCGCAGGGCCAAAGCGCGCTGGCGCCGGCCGGGGAGCGCTGCAGGTGTGTTCCCCAGCAGAGCAGGGGAGCGGCAGGAGCGGCCCAGGCTGCCAGGATCCCGCCCCCTTTCACAAGCCTGAGAACCTCGGTGACACTTGTCCTCTAAACAGAACACGCCAGTATCTTGCAAGTTCCCTGGTGGTCTAGTGGTTAGGATTCGGCGCTCTCACCGCCGCGGCCCGGGTTCGATTCCCGGTCAGGGAAGTTTCTTTTTGCAACTCAATCACATAGGGATGGTAGAGGTTTGGCAGGTGATGAGATGAAAAAGAAAACTAAATGCTGTCAAGTGAAGAACAGTCAAAGGAGCTGCATACAGTCAGGGCCACGAAGGACACACAGAAAAGCAACTTTTTAAGTTTCCTACGCAGTATGAAGGAGAAATGGTGCTCCAGGGCTGGGCCTGCAGAATCACACGAGGTCCACGGGTGTGTGTGTAAAAATTATTTAATATGAAGTGGGTGTGGAAACGGCCAACTAAAGAGTACAACCATCGCGTGGGGGAGGCGCGGGGATCGGGAACGCGCCAGATCTGGCTTTCCGTCTCGGGTCTTGGGTTTCCGGGCCCGCGACGCAGGCGATGTTGGGAGGAGGCACGGACCCCGCGCCGGGGGCGCACGCGGTCTCCGCCCCGCAGCGCCCCGCGGTAACCCCAGGTCCGCCGAGGCGCGCGCACAGGGAGCCGGAAGCGCGCTCTTCCCCGCCAGCCGGAGGAGCTGCGGCGGCGGCAGAGCGTCCGCACAGGCTCGCGGGGCTCTGCGGGAAAGACGAGGGCAGCGGCCGGGCGGGACCAGACCACAGTGCGGCCGGTGGCGCGCCGTGATCGTATAGTGGTGAGTACTCTGCGTTGTGGCCGCAGCAACCTCGGTTCGAATCCGAGTCACGGCAGTCGGGCCCGGCTCCGCCCCTTTTGCTCCCTTGTGCATCCAGCATGGAGCTGTCTGCGCCCCGCAGGTGGCGCCCACAGGGCCAACCCACGCTGTCCCGGCTCCACGCATGACTTTTCGGAAGTTCGCTGGAGATAAGGGTCTTTCGGGCTCTGCTCCCCCGCCTGGCTCCGAACCTCATCCTTGTTTTCAGGAGTCAGATGGGGAAGGATGGGCGTCCAGGCGGGTGGGGTGACGCGGCTCGCTGGAGTGACAGCGCCCCGCTTCACCCCGCCGCTCCGGCCTCGCCCCGCCCTGCGCTCCGTCCGCCCTGCACCCCGCCGCCGGGGTCCCGGGCCCCCCGCCGCCGCTGCTCGGAGACCCGGGGCGCTGCGCGCTCCCCCCGACGTGCGGGCAGCCCCGCGGCACGAGGTAATCCCACGAGGGGCTGGATTTGAGCCGCCGGCGGCCGAGCCCACGCGCCTGCAGTTTGCGTTCCCCAACTGATGCCGGAGTGACCGCGCAATGTCGGGTTCGAGACCCGCTGGCCCTGGGCGCCACCTTTGGGCGCAGACACCCCCTCCCCCAAATCCCGGCCGCACCCCAGGCAGCATAAGCACCGGAGTCACCGAGGCGAGCCAGCTCCGCCGCCCCCCATTCCGTCCTACCCCCACCCCTTCCGCAGATCAAAACCGACGGGAGGCCGCTCAAGGAGCGGGGGAAAACAGCATCTTGCTGGAACTAAACAGGAAGGTCCCACCGAGATTTGAACTCGGATCGCTGGATTCAGAGTCCAGAGTGCTCACCATTACACCATGGAACCTCCGATTACCTTTTTAGTTCAGAGGACGAGGAGAAGGCGGCGGTACTTGCCCTCGGCTTCTTCCACTGATTCATGTCAAGTATTACTTTTGCACCCCAGAAAAAGAAAAGGCTTCCACTCTGGTCTCTGGGCCAAAAGAGACTTCAAGCCTCCACCATAAGCGGCCTACTCTGCCTCTGATCAACAACGTGCTTTCCAGGAGTTTCTCTGTCCCTCCTGCTTTCCCTCCCAGCCAGCATGGGGTACCCATCCTCCCCACAGGAGGTGGGACTCCTGAGTTCCCCGGCTGTACAGCTCTTTGGGGGCTCCCCACAGTACTGTAGAAAGGGGTGTCAGCCATGAAAGGATCAGGATGAAGGAGAGCTGTCACTTTCCCCTCCTCCCCCCATACATACATGTACATACACGTGTGTGGCTCTCTTCCATTTTTCTTAGTACAAATGCCCACGTGTTGAATGAACATGAAAAGCAACTCACCATTTGGGTTTATTGTCACTCATATAGACCACTCTCACCTGCTGAGACTCAGAATCACCTTGATGAACAGGCAAGACCAAGAAGCGGGGTTCTAACACTTACATACACTGGGTTTTAGACCAGGGAGCCAAGCCTAGCTTATGCAGTCTTATCCAAAGCCTTGCATGTTTTTCACAAATATGAACCAAGGGTGGGGGGTCCTAAGATCATTCACTCACTCACCAAATGGAATATGTGTTCAATGTTCAATATTAACCTATACAAAATACCAGGACACACATTCAATAGATGAAAGTCAGCATTGGCCACTTGTGTGGCATGGTGACACACACCTGTAATCCCAGCACTCGAGAGACTGAGGCAGGAGGGTAAGCCCACCAGAGTAGTACTTTTTAACTGCCATAGCCTTGTTTTCTTGGACCCTGGGTGGGCAGGCAGGATGAAGGAAATCGTGTTCCTTAGTTCAGGACACACAAGGCTGGCTGTTCAGAAGAGACTCCAATTGTCACCCACACATTTGCCCAGACCCTTCCTCTGTCAGGAAGGAACACATGGTCTGAGTAGTTGTCCCTGATCTATCCCCACATCCTCTGAGTACATCAACAAACGATGGCCCCTTCTACACAGACGATGCTGCATTTGTGCACTTCCATCTGTATGACTGAAGTCACTGTTAGCATGTGTCTCTGCAGGTGTCCTGTGCTGCTATACAATGGATGACAACGTCATGTTTAATTTTGTTATGGATAAGTGATCTGGAACTGGGCCTTGAATTTAGGAACTGTGTACTGCCCCTGAGCCTCCCCCCCCCCCAAGGTTGGCACTCTATCACTTGAGCCACAGCTCCAATTCTGGGTTTTTGCTGGTTAATTGGAGATAAGTCTCATGGACTTTCTTGCTCGAGCTGGCTTTGAACCATGATCATCAGAGCTCAGGCTCCTGAGCAACTAGTATTACAGGTGTGAACCCCAGTGCCCGGTAAGCCCACAGGATGATTGACAGGTCTCAGCCTTGTCACTTGAGGGAGTGGGTGTGGCTGGGAAGGTGGGGGGGGGTGGAGATGATGGAAGGGTGACACTGATCAAGATACAATATGCTTATGAACTGATTTGGCGAAACCCCATTGTACAACTCCTTAAAGATCATTAAAAAAATATATATCTGATGAGCGGATAACTCCTCTGTACAGCACCTTAATAACAACAGCCGCATATTTTGAAACTCGATTTCTGAACCCAGATCACGGTCTGACTCCATGCTTGCCTTGAGGTGGCAACGCCACATTTTCCTGTTGAACAGGTAGACCTCCACTCCTTGCCCCTTTCCTTCTCCTGCCCTGCCCGCGCTGCGGCTCGGTTTGCGGCGTCCGGGCTCAGAGGCGCAGACTGGAAACGGAGAGGAAAGGACGGCCGCTGCGCACAGATTCTGGCCGGAGCCCAGGCTGCTGACGTCGGGGCGCAAACACCGACTTCGGCGGGAGGGAGAAGTGGGGACTAGAGGGAGCCGCCACGGACCTGCGCGGCGCGGGGCGCAGGCCTCGGTCTGGTGAACGCGCGGGGCACCCCGGCCTCTCCCGGGGCCCGTGCAACGCGCCCCGGAGTTCCCCCGGCCGCCGTGGTATGGCTTATGTATCCAGACCCCCACAGCTCTCTGCAAGTCTCTGTGGCACAATTGGTTAGCGCGTTCAGCTGTTCATGATGGCAGGATAATCGGTCCTGGTTTGCTCCCCATAAACGTGGACTGGTATTGTATTGTATTACAGGCCCGGCCCTCCCTGTTCTAACCAGACTAACGCAAGGACCTTCAATATAAGCAGTTTGTCTCAAATGGGAAGGGAGAATCATTTCTCACTTTGTACATTAACTCCAAGGTGAGTTTGAAATGAGCTTGGTTTTGTTTTCTTTTATGACAAAAGGATGCCACAGAGAAAAATCTTCAAAGTTGGTCATTTCTGTTGTGAGAGAAGTCGACGAAGTCAGTTGGGACAGGGCAGAGTTTGTGCCACGATCTCATCCGAGTGGATTCTGTTTGTTTTTGGGTCCAGTCGTGGGGCCTGAACTCTGGGCCTGGGCGCTGTCCCTCAGCTCTTCAGCTCAAGGATAGTGCTCTTCCACCTGAGCCACAGTGCCACTTCGGGCCTTTTTCTTTTTGCTTATGTGGTGCTGAGGAATCGAACCCAGGGCCTCAGGCATGCAAGGCAAGCACTCTACCACTGAGCCACCTTCCCCTTCCCAACCTCCCCCCCCCCCCAGTGGATTCTTGCACAGAAGCAGAGCCAAATTAATCACAGCCCACTGTCTGCCAGTGCTGCCAAAGTCTCTTCAGTACCCCCCCCCCATTTACACACCCCTTCTCTCTGTCTCTCTGGTGTAACTGGGCTATTGCTGCCCTCCTGTCTTAGCTTTGAGGGAAGAAAAACAGAGGTGGTAGTGGACACACAGATTTCTGTTGCCCATTTTGGCTAAAACTACCAAAGTATTTTAAAAGTCCTCTACTAATTGTAATTATCATATGTTAATCAATCATATGCTAATCAATCATTCTATCCGGAAAGGACAGGGAAGACACACCTGTTTAACAACCCCCTGCCAAGCTGTGATCCAAAAGGAAGAAAATCCCCACGATTCTGTTCTTTGTCTTTCCTTCTTTTGTCCTCCTTCATGAATCTTAGTTTGGCTTTTACAGTATTTGGCGAAAACCTTCTGTTTGTGTGTTAGGTCTTGTACCATGGTAACTGAGCATGCCAAAACTGTCTTTACAGCAAAAGTTGCCATGTCTGTCTCTAAAACTTACCACCCCCCCCAAAAAAAAAAAATCCATCTGAGACACATGAGGAGAAACAGTGAACGTTAACACACTTTTCTGACATCTAAAAGCTATCCCCAAGGGGACTTACTCCTTTTCCTGGCAGCTCCATTCATTTTAATTTTCTTCTAGAAGGGAATCCCCGTGCATTTATTTCCTTGTGGGCCCTGCCTCTGGGCCCAGAGCATGGCAGGAGAGGGGAGAGGCGTGGCAGGGCCTTGACAGAAACCAGCTCTAGCCAGCCAGGGTGGATCCATCCCAAGTCTCCCTCACCTATCAGAGTTGAAAATCCCCATCACACTTGTTCTCCAGTCACACCCCAGCAGCTTTCATCTTCCTCCCTGGTGGTCTAGTGGCTAGGATTCGGCGCTTTCACCGCCGCGGCCCGGGTTCGATTCCCGGTCAGGGAAGACTTTTTACAACGTAGTTGATATGCTTCATTTCTACTCACCAGAAAGTGCAGAGCCTTCTTACACACAAATCACAATATTGGCTGTGGGATGCGCCCTTGCTCCACCAATCTGGGAGAGCTAATTCTGTTTCATCTGTACCACCAAGACTGGAAATCGCTACCCCTCCAGCTGTTTTCCCCTGACCCCATCTGTGCAGTGGCTCTTTTAAAAACAAGTGGGAAGGAAAACAAATAGGACACCCCTCCTCCCCAAGATGCTGATAGAGTAAGATGCTTGCTTCCCCTCCATCGGCCACTGGAGGCTCAAACTCATTTCTTCCTCGCTCCCCAAGGCCAGTTTTTGCTGGATCCAGCATACCTGACAGTATATTTCTTTGAATATATTAAAAACACCGTTCCAAAGACCACTAGCCTTAATCGCTTCTGTGGGCAAACTGGCAAGTGATTTCGTTGTGCAGCCCTGAGATTTAGATGTTACTTTCTATGCAAATGAAACAGCGATGAGGATCCATCTAACTCCAATCACCATGTCACAAATGAAGAATACAAACACATGCTGGCAAGGGGCATAGGTAGGGAAGGGGTCACCAGACCCAGGTGAGGCATAGTGAAGTTTTCCTTTAAATGTAGGCATTCTTCACTTAGGGTCCTTCGATCGCAGAATAAGGATTTCTGGACAAGATACAATGGTAAGAAAACGTGGCAGAGCTTTATTGAGTAGGCAAGCAGGCAGGCAGACAAGCATGCAGATGGACAGAAGGGCAGGGGTGTACTCTTACCGTGTGGGTATTCTTACCGTGTGGGTGTTCTCACTGTGTGGGTGTTCATAGTGTGGGTGTTCTCACTGTGTGGGTGCTCTTATTGTGTGAGAGGGAGATAGACACACAGCTCTTCCTCTCCTCAGGGTATTTACAAGGTAAAGGCAGGGGGTCTGACTTCAAGCTTGTATCTTTGCTCTAATGATTCCTGGTGCTACTTTCTGAGTTTCTGGGTGTTGGGAGTATATTTCCAGGTAAGAAGGTATCCTGCCATAAAACAGATCCTTATCATTGAAATAAAGAAGCTGCAAGTTTGGGGGAAGCATTTTTTTTTTCTCAGAAAGGCATACATCCTACCAAGCAAGTGTTAATTCTTGGGGTTAGGAACATACCCCTCAGGAAGGAATGCATCCTGTTGTCTGTCTTTGAAACAAAGATTGCACCTCTATGTTTCTACATACCATATTTCTGAGTTGCCTTCAGCAGGCCTCAGTTTCCTGTTTCAGAAGGACTGGTGAGAAAGTAAATAGTGCAACCAGTATGGAAATCAGTATGGAGGATCCTAAACTATAAAACTGTTTTACGACCCAGACATATCTCCAAACTATTCCAAGACAGGATAAAAAACAGTAGCTTAACTATGGAAAGAGCCTAGTTTCAGAGGGTAGGGAAATGGAAAAGGGAGCAGTGAGTGGGTGGATACAGTTGTCATACTCAATGTCTCTGTGTGAAATGGAAGTGGGAAATGTGGTTGATAGGGAGGGTGAGGAAGACAATGGTGGAAGGAATGAGTCTGAGCAAGATACATTGTCCACATAAAAGGACAAGTTAAGCTGGGTGCTGGTGGCTCATACCTGTAACCCTAACTACCCAGGAGGAGGCTGAGATTGGAGGATGGTAGTTCAAAGCCAGCTCAGGCAGGTAAGTCCATAAGACTGTTACCTCCAATAAGCTATCAGAAAAAAGCCAGAAGTAGCACTGTGGCTCAAGTAGTAGACTGCTAGCCTTGAGCAAAAGAAGTTCAGGAACAGAGTCTAGGCTGAGTTCAAGCCCCAGGATGGGCAAAATAAATAAATAAGTTAAATGTGAACCCTTTGTACAACCATTTGAAAATTAGAAAAAAAAATTTTTTTGCCAGTCCTGGGGCTTGAACTCAGGGCCTAGGCACTGTCCCTGAATTTCCTTTGCTCAAGACTAGCACTCTACCACTTGAGCCACCATACCACTTCTGGCCTTTTCTGTGTATGTGGTACTGAGGTATCAAACCCAGGGCTTCAGGCATGCTAGGCAAGCACTCTACCACTAAGCCACATTCTCAGCCCTGAACATTAGAAAATATTGAGTAAATAAACATTGCTTTGTTCATACTCATCTCTCCGTTTTTTTTCTTAGAAACTCTTACGGTGCTGCTTCAACACTGGTCATGTCCTCATTGTGTGCAGCAGTTAGTGTTAGATCAAATCACCCTGGAATCATCTCTCCATCTGAAAATTTTACTGGTAAGCTGCAAAAAAAAAAAAGGAAAAGAAAAAGAAGAAAGGGAAGGATGGAGGGGAAGAAGGAAGTCAGTTCAGAAAGTAGATGGATCCAAAAGGAAGAAATAACACACATTTCAAAAAGAGGATGGAGAACAAAAAAGAATGTTGCATAACAGAGTTGATGTTTACTGTGCTGGAATAAAACTAGATACATAATGTAACTTCACAGAAACGAAATTAGGAACCCGAGGCAGCTTTTCTAATCCTACACCTTCTATCTATTAAACTCCATCGTTTGAAGACCTGGGTCCAGAGCCAAACCCAGGATGAATCCTGCTGGGACCAAGCTGGGTTTACCTTGGAACCATGCTGAGACCCGCCACTGACTCCACCCGATGGGGAGAGGCCGGAGGGTGGGTGGACTGTCACTAAGTGGAACCCCCTTCCCCTCACATACACACCTTAAAGTGCGCGCAGGTGGGAGGAGGAGAGGGCAGGTACTGAGCAGTACGTCGGAAGGAGGGACAGGCACCTTCTGTGACGTCACACAGAAGGCGTGGCCTGCAGATGAGGCAACCCAGGGGCTGCTGGTCCGAGCCCCATCGCACCCACTCGTGGATTTCTGGTGTGGGGGAGAGAGCGGGAGAGCGTGCCTGGGAACGGAGGGTAGAAGCTTCTCGGAAAAGCTGGGAGAGCCCGGGAATGGGTTGAAGGCAGGTGACCATGTGTGAACAGTGTAAAGCACGTGAGGTTTAGGGGGAGTGGGAAGTCACCTTCTCATACTTACCTGGCAGGGGAAATGTCACGATCATGCAGGTGGCTTTCCCAGGGCGAGGAGTGCTCATTGCACTTGGGACACGCTGACCTCTGCGATTTCCTCACATGGAGGAAACTCGGCTGCATAATTTTTGAGTGGGGGACTGCGTGCGCGCTCTCCCCTGGCAAGAGGCGAATAATAGAGCTCATGGGTTAGATTTCTCAAGTGGTGTTTATTCTATCGTTTTTTAGATTGTTTATTTTGGCCGTGGGATTTCTGCCTGTGGCGTCTGTAATGACTAGTCCGCTCTTTTGTTGGCCGAGAGCTGGTTTTTATGTAAACTACACCCAAGTTAGGTATCCCGTATGTGGTTTTTACACCTAACTGTGGAACATCTTTCGAGACAACACTCTTGCTTTCAAGCTCATGCTTGGCGGTGGGCTGGGACCCATTCATCGGCTGCAGCGGTTCCAACAAAGTCAGCGGAGTAAAATCCCAATGAGTGCAACAAGGCACAAGCGCCCCACACCGAATCTAGGACGCAGTCGCTGGCGGGCGACCCCCATGGTTGCCCTTTCTGCAGTTGACAAATCACGTCCCCAGAAGATGCCAGGACAGCAGACACTTCTCTGGAGAAGATGCGGGAACCGCGAAGGACTTGCGGTGCCAGGCAAGGCAGTCAAGATGGGAATGACTCGGGGGAGAGAGAGAGATGTGGGGATCCAGAGCCCTCTCTGCCCTCGCTGCTTCCCTTCGTGCCCCCAAAGCGAGGATATGGACAAGCCCAGAAGCAAGACAAAATGGCATTTCCTCAAATCAAACAGGAAGGTCCTGAGATTTGAACTCGAACCGCTTGATTTGGAGTCCAGAGTGCTCACCATTACACCAAGGAACCCACGGGAATAGCTGGGGGAGGATTAGAAGCCCGTATGGATGTGTATGCGAGTTTCAACCCGTACACCCAGGGCATCGGATCTGCATCCGGGGATTTGGGAGAGCGTCCACCCTGCCCTCAGAGTCAGGGAGAGAATCCTTCTGCTTTTATACCTCCCCGACCTGAAGTGAAATTTCCCCAGACAACCGAGGTATCGGTTCGTGCCGACACGACGCAGCACAGGGAGCAGCTCCCCCCTCCCCCGGGGCCCCTTTATCATTGTTGCCGTGCAAGCGTCTGTGATCTTTAGCCGATCCGCCTTTTAGAGCAAGGGGTCAAAGGCTTCTCTTTCCTCCACTGTTCCCCTCACTTGGCTAGGCTGTGCCACCGCGCAAAGCTCCCAGGACTGCGCCTGCCACGCCGCTCAGGCCCCGCAGCTCTTCTCCCTCGAGGCGTCTGTGCGCTTTGGAAGCCCGACTTTCCCCCTTTCCTCTCTCCCCATCCCTCCTGCCCCAGGATCCGCTGCACCCCGGCCTCACTGAAGCGCGGGGACCTTCTGCAACCGGGTTCCCCGTGGCCTTCGATTTCCCCCTTCAACAAAGCTCTCTGGTCTCTTGAAAGTGCGAAGGGCGAGGCCGGATGGAGCCCCGTCCTCTTTGGCGCCCTCAAAGACCCTACCAGGATCTGGGAGAAAAGACGGAGACGCTTCGTCCAGAGCTTTTCCCCGAGCATCCACCGAGCCAATCCCGACCGCCGGGACCGCAGTACGAGTCTCGAGACGACGGCGAAGGGGGTGGCGGAGCAGGTAGGGTGGGAGCCCCAGATTGCCTGGGTGAAGGAGAAGCAGGGACTAGCGGAGCCCGCGGTGTCTCCACCACGCCAGCTTCCTAAGCGGCCCCGGCAGGGCCCAGGGCGCAGGCCTCAGTCCGCGCTCGCCGCTTCCGAATCCCCGCGGCTGGTGAACGCACGGGACACCCCAGCCTCCCCGGCCTCTCACGGGGCCGTGCAGCGCGCCCCAGGTCCCCAGACCGGTCAGGGCTCTGGAAACCGCGTCCGCCTGGGCTTGGTCTGTGCAGAGGCGGACTAAGACTTATCATCTGTCTCTGTGGCGCAATCGGTTAGCGCGTTCGGCTGTTAACCGAAAGGTTGGTGGTTCGAGCCCACCCAGGGACGCCCGCTTACTCTTTTACCTCTCCGTGTTCGTCCCCGTGCGCACGGCCGCGCTCCGCACACTCAGGACGGCTGGCACGCACGGCCCACGTCAGGGAAACACGGGGAGAGCGGCACCGCATGGGCGGGGCTGTGTTTTGCTTGGGCACCGGGGTTGAAAGGAAACTGCGGGCAGCGGAAGGTGTGCGGGGCGCAGGCCGGGTGCGCAGTGCCGGCACGGGGGGAGAGGGGTTCGCAGCCCGATGGAAGCCGCAACCAGCCAGGCCAGGCCGCTCCTCCTTTCCGACTTCAACGAGCCACGCACAGCGCCCTACATGGAAAGGCATCCCGCAGGATAAAGATGAACTCCCTGGTGGTCTAGTGGCTAGGATTCGGCGCTCTCACCGCCGCGGCCCGGGTTCGATTCCCGGTCAGGGAAGTCCTTTTACAACACACTCAGCTCCTTCCGCACTCGCACTTGGCACAAAACAGTCCGGTCCCTGGTGGAAATGACAATTCTCCACCTAAAATGCAAGGTCCCACCGAGATTTGAACTCGGATCGCTGGATTCAGAGTCCAGAATGCTCACCATTACACCATGGAACCCACAGGACGTCCTTTCAAGGTCGTACCCATCTGTGCGCCCCACGTGGCTGTCGGCGACCGAGAAACTCATCCGGCTCCGAAAACCGAGGGGCTTCCCCACCGACTTCAAGGCCCGGAGAGAATCTTCTGCTGCCCCCATGCTGGACCTCTGGTGCTGAGGCGACTCTGGTGTGGACGGCGAGCGCCGATGCTCCCACGCCGGCCAGGAGCCGCGATCGCCCGCGGGACACGCCGTTCCCGGGTTCCCCGAGGCCCCGCTCGCGGGGCTCCGCCCTGCGGCCGCTGACGTGTGAGGGGTCAGCCTGGGTGTCAGCCTAGGGGACACCCGGAGAGGTGACCCTGGGGGTCTGAGCCTGAGGGGTCAGCCTGGGGAGGTCACCCGAGGGGTCAGCCTGGGGGATCGCTCTGACAGGTCAGGACGAGGAGACTGCCACCTTCCCTTCGCATACACACGCGTGCTCATGTGCACATACACCTTGTGTGTGGGGGGGGGGGGACGGACAGCAGGCAGCACAAAGCAAGGTCCCTCCCTCGGCCTCCTGGCCTCAGAGTTCCTCAACGTCTGAATGTCCAGTTACAACACACGAGGCTTCTTTCCCGGAGGCTTTGCGAATTATCGGGGCTCTGTCAGTCAACACCCCCCCCCCCACACACACACCCTAAGCATAGCACGTGCATAAGTCTCCGTGGCGCAGAAACACTTTTGCTTTGTACACGGAAGGTCAGAGGTTCGAGCCCACCCGAGAGTACTACTAGCTGCCACGCGCGCCCGTCCTGTCCGGTCCATTTTTTCCCCACCACAAGTGAAAGGCCCACAGCGTCTATTCAGCGCGGCCGTCGGCCCGTCTCCGGCCCTGGACACGAGGACAGCTGTGGACAGGCGGGGAGCGCGGCCGTGTTTCCGGAGCGCGAGGTTGAAAGGAGAATCCACTGGGATGGCGGGGCCCGCGCAGGGCACAGGCCTCGGTGCGCGCTCGTGGCTTCCGAATCCCCGCGGCTGGCGAACGCACGACACATCCCGGCCTCCCCGGCCTGTCCCGGGGCCGTGCAGCGCGCCCCGAGGTCCCCCAGTCCTGGTCAGGGCCCCAGAAGCCGCGTCCACCTGGCCTTGGTCTGTGCAGATGCCAAGTGAGTCTTGCTGTCTGTCTCTGTGGCGCAATCGGTTAGCGCGTTCGGCTGTTAACTGAAAGGTTGGTGGTTCGAGCCCACCCAGGGACGCCCTCTCACTCTTTTACCTCTCGTGTTCGTCCCCGTGAGCACGGCCGCGCTCCGCACACTCAGGACGGCTGGCACGCACGGCCCACTGCAGGGAAACACAGGGAGAGCGGCACCGTCGGGCGGGGCTGTGTTTTGCTTGGGCACCGGGGTTGAAAGGAAACTGCGGCAGCGGAGGTGTGCAGATCGTCGGCCGGGAGCAGGGGCCTCTGTCGCTGCCGGGAGGAGGAAAGCGCGGTTCCCAGCCCGAAGGAGCCGCCACCAGCCCGGCCCAGCTGCGCATCCCTTCTGACCTCTGAGAACCCCCGCAAACCCACCCTACACAGAAAGGCACCATGCCGTCACCGTAGGAGCTCCCTGGTGGTCTAGTGGCTAGGATTCGGCGCTTTCACCGCCGCGGCCCGGGTTCGATTCCCGGTCAGGGAAGTCCTTTTACAACACACCAGCTCCTTCCACACTCGCACCCAGCACAAAGCCACAACCTCGGTACAGGCGTCCTCCCCGCGGCCTGCCACCCCCGGCAGCGCTGGCCCACGGCCCTCCCCCAGCCCCACCTCGGCGCCTGCCACCCGCAGCCCACGAAAAGTGGCCGTGGGGGTGGGGCCGAGGAGAGCAGCAGCCGCCAAGACAGCTGTCGCCAACTCCGCAGCTGTCCAAGCGGGGATCCCCGCTCCTCACCGTGGCGCCAGAGCCACTGTGTTCGTTTTTCATCAGTCGTGGGTCTTGGACTCACGCTGTGACGGAAGGGATCGGGAACGCACCGGACCTGGCTTTCTGCCTCGGTTCCTCTCCCCCCCCCCCCCCCCCCCCGGGCCCGCAGCGCAGGCGGTGCTGGGAGGCGGCATGGACCGGGCCGCAGGGGGCAGGGGGCGCACGCGGCCTCCAGCCCCCACAGCAACCCGGGTCCCGCCGAGTCACCCGCACAGGAAGCCGAGTCACAACCGCCGCCTATGAGACCCATGCTCTTTCCGGCCTGCCGGGCGCAGGGAGGCGGCGACAGGGCATCCCCGCCAGCTGGCGGAGCTCGGAGGGAAGGACGAGCAGCTGGACGGCAGTGGAGCCCGTGGCACGCCGTGATCATATAGTGGTCAGTACTCTGCGTTGTGGCACAGCAACCTCAGTTCGAATCCGAGTCCCAGCAGTCCGGTCTGGCTCCCCTGCTCTGCCCCCTTCTGCTTTGGAGACCAGGCTCCCCCTGCACCTCCCTGGGGAGGGCCCTGTGGCTCCCCTGTAATGGTCAGGCTTGCAGTGTCCACGCTGGGAGAACGATCGCTGTCCACATCACAGCAAGCTAAAAGAAGCCCAGGCTCCCTATTTCTCCCAAGAATCAACAGCCAGGT